GAACTGTTGGAAAATAAATGGATTTAAGTATAGCTTATATGCTTATAAATAAAAGATACAATGATAAAAATGTAATCAAGGGATCAATCAGAATGATAATAGAGCTGAATAATATATAAAACTAATAAGTCAAAGTGTTGAAATATGAGTAAAATAATAGATGAGGATTTTTATTTAGGAGAGGTCTTATGGATGCCTATTTATAGTGATGGACGTATAATCCAGTCACTGAAATTAAAGAAATTGGGGAAATTTATAGAAGAGATTGAGGTAATTGCGCCTACTAAGAGGTCACAGATCTGAGGATAAGAAAAAGATGAAAAGAAGTAGTTTTGACAGGTGCAAACCCGAAAAGGTGTATTGCACTTTAGTAGGTGTTTAAAAAGAAAGAAAAATTGGAAATGCGCTCGATTTGTCGCATAACAACATATATTGATATTAATACCGAGGATAGGGGTGACTATAATGATAAACTTTACCTCGAAAAGAATGTAGTTCATTTACCGTGGATGCAAGCACAATATTTATTATTCATAAACTACTTCGAACAGAGTTACATAACTACTAAAGGTTGATTTTATGTTGCATTATGACATCAATAATTATACATACTATTTCATGGTCATTTGTCAAAAAGAAAACAGAAAGAAAGGAAAATAAGAAAAAGGTTAATAAATAATGGTCTTTTTAAACTCAATAGAGAGTACAATTTTGTTACGTACAGGAACGGTACATACAAACATCAAGTGCCCTTGCAGTGCATTTGATAGGTACTTTTAATAATCCTTTGACCATTCTTTTGTTTTCTACAACTTGTCTCTTTACAAGATGGAACAAATGGGGAAATTAAAAAAAAAAAAAGAAAGAAAGGAGGAGGCTGATTTCAGAAAAAAGTGTTGCGGCTGTTTATTAAGTGACAGAAATCTGGACATAAAGCCCATGACCTTTAATACTAAATATATTTTATTTGTTATATGAATATGATAATAAAACGGGTAATACTTTTTTATAGAGATATTTATTAAAAATTGAATATGTTTTGTTACTTATTCGTCTGTTAAAACCAGCAGAGAAGTGAAGTTTATTGCCTTTGAAAAAAAAAAAAAAAGCATGAGTAAATTGAAAGCACGAGAGAAAAAAAGCCTAATCGTGTAAGACCAAACGCTTCATGAACAAGATATACTTTTTAGACCCTTATTAATTTCATCGTGTTAACTTAATAAATTTTCTTTTAATCATATAAGTTATATTCGTATCGTTAATTTAAGTTTTGCTGGAATTTTTATTCGAATCAGTGCTCCCTTTTATTTAGTTATTTGTAGAGGAAACTTTAAAATCATAAAGTTAGTTATCAAACATTCTTACTCAATATTACTATGATTAACATTTTCAGTGAGTACCTTCATTTTACTGTCTTTATATTTTTTTACGATGTCTAATGCTTGAATCTTTTTTCCACAGAGTGCATGAAATTGCCTTATTTTATTGGCGGAGGTGAAATGTGTCTTTGACAGTCATAATTTACGAAAAAAAAATCTCTTTCTTCTTTCTTCGTTCTTCTTTCTTTCTTCTACTAATTGAATAGTTGGCGTAGGACAATGGTAAGTTTTTATAGCTTACTCAGTAAAACGGTCAATAGAAAAGGTATGCCCACGTTTAGTAGGTGAACGAACACGCTGGCCTCTGTGTCAGCCCAAGTCTTGTAGCTGAACTTCACCATACCACCGAATATGCCCACGTTTAGTAGGCGAACGAACACGCTGGCCTTTGTGTCAGCCTAAGTCTTGTAGCTGAACTTCACCATATTTTCGTTGAGTTTCGAAAGACACGCAAAGTCATTGTGCTTTGCCTACTTTAGTACAAACTTGGCGGCTATTGACTCTAGAAATAGACGGTTTACTGACCCTTTTTTTTTCATTTATAGATACAGCAAAGCTCTTATAGTTGTCGTATACACCTGTATATAATTATTTTTTTACTTAAAATAAAGATGGGTTTAATTAAGATGTTGTTATATTTACCTTTTTTTTTTGCCTTTTTGGCGTTTTATACGGAGTATGAATAAGCCTTAGTAAATGGGAAAAAAAAAAGTAACGCTCAAAATTATTATATATGGGATGCTATGGGTTCATAATGGTTGGAATGAAACTGAACATCTTGCCTTAATGTAAAGGGAATTTTAGCTGGATGTGTAGAAAATATTGTTATATTATAAAAGAAATGAATTGTTTGAATCTTTTTAGCTCGTTTTGAGTGTAGTGGTGGTAATATATGTTTATTAAACAACAAATCTCGATTTTGCAGTGGTTTTCATTTTTTTAAAAACCAGTGTCCGTAAAGTTTTTTAAAAGGACCGACTGTATCGTTCGAAAATATGTTTAGACTGGTGAAACGTTCCAGGGTAGAAGATGTGGAATCATTTAAAGAAATTTAGGCATATGCGATTGCCAAAGAGGCCGCATTACACAAGGCAGAGCAGCGTAGACAGGACAAGAAGTTTAGCTTGGACCATTTGGGGGAAAAACATACGTCTTTTGTATGGTGATTTTTAAAAAATGAATAAACTATCTTCTTTTTCCTTTACATAATTTCAGGGCCAAATTTATCTATAAATGTGTACGTTCTCCATTTTTTTTTTCTTTAAGCTCACTGTCATTGAAATTTATGATGCATGATTAAAAATCCTTATGCAAGGATACGTATCATGTGCTGACGTTTATTAAATCGGAAGAACTTTGGGAAAGCGTTTGGAAAATGAAAAAGCTTAATATTTTGCTCATGAATTGTATTTTCAATTCCGTTCTAAACCTAAGTTTTACGAAAAGATGTCAGCAGTATGAAAGGTAAAGATGGCTTTTTAGAATAATTTACACAATTAGTAAAGATAACGTTTGAAGTTACGAGTTACGTAAGCAACACCGTTGTTTTATACCAAAGTTGACAGTTGTATGAGTAAATTGAATTTCTTATAGGTATACACTTATAAAAAGGAAGATATAATTCAGTGATTTTATATATTGATCAAGGGATCGTTCAGAATAAGAAAATGACCAAATAATATAAAACTGGATAATCATGGTCTTGGTGTATGAGTCAAATAATAGATGCGTATTTCTATTAAAAGAGAGTCATAAAGATGCCTATTTACACGTATAAACTTATAGTACAGTCACTTACATTGAGCGACAATAAGGTAACTGTGCCTAGTAAAACGTCATAGATCTGTCGATAAAAATAAAGTTGATTACAAAATGATGGAAACTCGAAAACGCATTCTGCACTTGAAACTATGTATATATATATATATATTGTCATGGGGATCAGGGTTTAGTTTTTTTTTGGGGTGTTACACCATTGATTTTGTATAAAAGCCGTAACGAGAGATGCAATAAGGAGCCTTTTTATCTGCTCCTTATATTAAAACTTTTGCATCTTTTGTTACAGGTAAAATTAAATAATAAAACGCATCTGCTCCTTATATTAAAACTTTTGCATCTTTTGTTACAGTTATAAGATCATTTCAATTTTAATTCAAGAATCCAGTTACATTTACTATCAAAGTTATTATCCCCGCAACAATATATATATTAAGAGGATACGCTCAGTGTGTTGCGTAACACGTGCAAAACAATTAAAAAATTGAAGATGGAATGAATCGAAAGGACAATGAACTTTACAATATTGTTGATATGACGACATAATTACTAACTTTTAAGCATTGCACTGACGTTTCAACTCCGTCTTTTATAATTCACAAAAGCATTTTAACAGTTAGACTAATAATAAAGTTGAATTAAGAAGACATTTAAGAAAAAAAAAGTGCAAAAATGAAGTGAAAAACATGAAAGGGTAAATCAGTACACACAACTTCAGGCCAGCACACATGGTCTCAGTTGCAATGTTTTGTTGTAGAACGCAAAAGAGAATGTAACTTTTCTAAATTACTGGAAATATATATACAAGCAATAGAAAGGAAAGGAAATTTATTGAAACATCATCCGAAATAATCAAGTGTAATTTTGTAAAAAAGGATTTGATTTTAATAGTCTGTTTATTACAATTCTTTTGTTGATGTGCTAAAATTAAGAACAACGGAGGTGTGTGGGGGGGGGGGGAGAGAGAGAGGAAGGAGGGTGATTGTATAATTGGTCATAGCAAAACACTGAAAAAAAAAAGATGATATTTTTGAGTGATACAACTGTTGCTAATTTATGATTAATTTTGACTGACGTTCTATTATTAAGCATTAAATGCTACTGTGCCATTAGTTTGGTGTATAAAGTTTATGGAAATTAAATAAAAACTTCTTCCCACTTACAAAAAAAAAAAAAAAAAAAAAACGTTAAAGGGAGTAATATAATTATAGGCCACAAAAAGAAGAAGAAAAAAAAAGACTTGTTGATGCCCAACAAATTGCTTATGTCCGCTTTACTCTCATATGTAATTTTTATTATCATTAACGCTTAAAAGTCCAATTAAAAGTACAACGTGTGATATTATCTCTCATAAAAATGGGCAATTTGAGTCATTCTGGTGCCATCTTTTGATTTCTTGTCGTTCATGCTATATTAAAATTATATGATAACATCGTTAAAATCTACGTCTCCAGATAGTTCTTCTGCAGAGACGGTGTTATTATCATCATTATAACCAAGACTTATGACATGCGTACCTCGAGAGTAAAGAATCTACCAAGATGACATGTTACTGTTCCCCATTATTTTGTTATATCTTATTGCCTCATATTACATGCGAAGGTATTACAATACACATATACTCTTTTTGTCTGTTGATAATCTAACCTACTTGTAAAATCTCATTTAGACTTTCTCAAAGTTTAGAGTAGACGTGCCAAGGGTAAGTAACTTACAATTAATGAATATTTTATACAATGTGCTTTTTCCCTCTAACTATCACCTTGTTTCTATCCCAAGTATTAAGAACAGCTCTTACGATGTAATTGCGTGCACTTTGGCTGTCCTTAGGAGAGCCGAAAATACTTTTTTGGTGGTCAGCGGAGTTTGTCCACCTCCGGTAGTGCTAACACTTTAACATCACCCCTATTTCCCTTTTCATTTTATTTTTTTATTTTTATTCAAAAAAATTACCTCGAGAAATGAAGGCAGCAACACGTCGTAAAGTATCTTACGTAGTCAAATTGTGTAATGAAGAACAAACGCATTGTCTCGGTGTCAATTCATTAGCCATTGATACCTCTCATTACAATACTGCCAACAATGAAGGAGGTGTTTTATACTCTGCTGGCAGGGATGGTATTGTAGCGAGTTGGGATTTGCATTTGAAAGTTGCAAAGGACACCAAAGACAAATGGAGATTAGATGGACAAACTCAGGTAGACTTGAATATTTACCATGGAAAGAAACAAGAAACTAAAAAATAAAAACATTCTGTTTTGTTAGACCACAGTTCCCAAGTCTTCATGTAAAGCATTTTCCCAAATGCATACAGATTGGGTCAACGATATTGTTTTGTGCGAAGGTGGAACCTGTGGTAATACAAACTAAATTCATTTTATATTTTTTTTTTTTTTTTTCTGAAATCAAATATCTAGTCGTGTCCGCTTCATCTGATAGAACAATTAAATTGTGGAAGCCCTATAGTGATGCACCCAAAGTAGCACATACGATTGGATACCATACCGATTTTGCAAAGTGTTTGACGTATGCATCAAAGCCTGGATGGGTAGCAAGTGGCGGGCTGGATAGAAAGATTAATATTTGGGATATTGAGAAATCAGAAGCCGCATTGTCAATCGATGCAGGCCCCATTAATCATTATTCAGACGGTACGAGTGAGAGCAATAGTAAAGTATTCAGCGTTAGCATATACACCTATAATTTTTTATTAAAATATGTTTTAATTTCTAGGTTCATTGCATAATACCTCAAGTAAATGTTCGATATACGCTTTGGCAGTGAATCCATCGGGTACCCTCTTAGCTTCTGGTTCACCCGAAAAAGTCGTTCGTTTATGGGACCCTAGATCAGGAAAACGTATTAGTAAATTAACAGGACATACTGATAACATTCGTGCACTATTGATTAGTGATGATGGTCAATACGTGAGTTTTACTTGGTTAATCTTATTTTTCTCCACGCTAATTGTTGACCTCGTCTCTTTCTTAGATCTTATCCGGTTCGTCCGATTCTACTATTAAGCTTTGGTCCGTCAAAGCTCAACGTTGTTTAACCACCTACGAAACACATCCTGACTCAGTGTGGTCGCTTTATTCCGATCATCCTGAATTAAAGACATTCTACTCAGGTTCCAGAGACGGTCTTGTGAATAAGACGGAAATTTCAGGCCAAACTTTATCAGAAGGTGAAAGCGAATGTATTGGATTATTTAAGGAAGATTCCGGTGTGATAAAGATTGCTGCATTGGAAGATACATATGTTTGGACTGCCACTACCAGTTCCAGTATTAACCGATGGCTGTCTGTTCCACCTGCTGAATCACGTCAAGTATTACCACGATCTGAATTTAATCCTGACATCCCTCCTTCTGCGCTTATCAAATTACCTCCTGCCAAAAGTCCTTACACATCTCAAGTAACAGATTCCTTTGTAGGAAGTGATTCTATTACCATGTATGCTGGATCAGTATTATCCATCCCTATCAGCTATCAAGATGAAGATGTCGATCTTCAAGAAACTTTAATCCCTCTAAGAGCTTCACCAGATCATGTGATTGAAGGTAAACCTGGAATCACTGCTCATTTGATACTGCACAACCGACGACATATCTTAACAAAGGACACTAATGGGGAGATTACAATGTGGGATTTGACAAAGGTAAAGTTCAATGAAGGGGTAGTAAATGAAAAACGGGAAAATTGTATTCTGATTATCAGCTTCAATCCTTAGTGCATTCAAATCAAAAATTTCGGTAAAAGAGACATGGAAGATGTAGCACAGGAAGTAAACAGTCTGGAAAGTTTCCCAGCTTGGTGCTCCATTGACACTAAAATTGGCGTAAGTAAACATTTACTAGGGACGTATTTTGCACATAATTGTTTAAAAAAAATATCTCATTCTGTAGGCAATCACGGTTCAATTACACGAAGTAAATTGTTTTGACTGCGAAATGTATGCCGATGAAGTTGAAATACCAGCAGATTATCAAGTTCGTGAGGATCAACGCTGTAGGTTTTTTTTTTTTTTTTTTTTTTTTTTTTATCTTTTGGCCCAAACATAAGAGCAAATGGTTAAACAACAAGTATACACATAGTAAATTTAGGAAAATGGGTACTCGTGAACTTATTCCAAAAATTCATACAAAGAGAGCTTGAACATGAGGAGGAAGGGCTTATTCGCTTTACTGATGATCAACCAGATAGACCTGATTCTATAAAGAGTAAATCGCTTCAACCTACACAACAAGAGGAGAAAGTCGAAGCACCTCCTGCTGTCCCTGTCCCTCCTACTGTGACCATACCATCACTTAATCCAGTAGCAACAGACGATGGACCGAAATTACCTCTTACTGCAGTTACAACTAACGTCGACCAATCACCTTACCTGCCTTCATCTCCACAGGCAGCGCAGTTCAATGGACCCTTCACTGCGCCTATTACAACAACTACTCAAGCAGATTACTTCTCGGGTGCTCATTACCCACCTGTTCGTAGAGAATCTTCTGTTCAACTCCCTCAAGCTGTTGCATTACCCACATCCCCTACTTCTCCAACCGGAAGTAATTTTATGCATAGGCTCAAGAACCTGTCTGTTAAGGCAAAATTATCACGCATACCCACTAGTGAAGATAGACCTGGTGAACCTTTCCCTAGCTTATCAACATCTACCAGTATCCAATCCTCTGCAGATGAGCAACAACAACAACAACAGCAATCATTAGCCGCAGCATCAGTGGCAGCAGCAGCTGTAGCCGAAAAGGCAGCAGCTGAAAAAGCAGCAGCTGAAAAGGCAGCAGCCGAAGCAAAGGCAGCAGAAGAAAGCAAATTGAAAGAAATCGAAGAAAGTAAGTCAGAATGTTATTCACCACCTCATTCAGAAGATTTCCCCCCGTTACAAATCCCTTCATCCACCATGATTATTGTGGCAGAAGAAAGCGCAGAGGCCTCAACAGGGATGGATTTATACCGTGGTACAGTTGGATCAAGCGGCGAAGATGCAGATACAATAATCGAAGCTGCTCCGGCTTGGTTACTGGCTTTTCTGTTATACGTAAATACAAATTTGAATGCGTTTTGTGCTTTTATTTTTTCAGAGACTGACACTTTTTTATTTTTTTTTATTTTTTGTTTCATAGAATAAAACACCACCCAAGGAGACAGTTAAACTGACATTTGTTTTAAAACCTGCATCGGGTTCTAAACTAGAGGAGCTTCCAGGAGGGTAAAGTATACCAGAACGTGATTTTAAAAATATGAATACTAAATTTTTATGTTATGGATTAGACCTAATAATCGACTGTTGGCAAATCGAGTATTACGGGTCAGGAAACTTATCCAATATATATCCGAGAAACTAAACATTGAGGATGAATCCCACGTCGAATTATTATGTGGAGAAACCGTGCTTACACCCACCATGACTCTCGCAGCCATTAAACAGCATATTTTGAAAACAAGTGGAGATATTCCTCTTTGTTACCGTCTCAAAGAAGCAAATTAAAAAAAATAAAAAAATTATACTGCAGGGCAGTTTTTATTTATTTTGCATGATTCAAAGCCTCAAATTGCTGCGTACCAGGGTTTTTATTTAAAACTCAGGTGTATTTCAATTTTTTTTTTTTTTTTTTTTTTTTTTTTTTGGGATGGCCCGCACACAAAACGAGGGCTCGCGATCCCCCTGTCAATGCCTCTCTTTTATCTATTTTTCTTTTATTTCTAATGGCTTCTCAATTATTACGTTCTTCTCTTCGTGCTATTGCACGTCCTAGCCTTGTTAAGAGCTTCGTTGCTCCTAGCATGACCCAACGTATGCCTACTGTTGCATTCACCGCTACGCGTTCTTTCTCTGCCGGTATGGCTCGTATGAGCAACGGTGTTGGTAAAGTTTATATTTGACACATTTTTTTTCGTAACTAAATATATCCCCATGGTTGCGAATAGTTGATGCTGATCTTACTCACAAGTTGGACGAAGAGCTTCAATACGAACAATCCAACGCCGAAGCTGGTCAACCTGAATTTGTCAAGGAGTTTTTGGAAGCCAACTCCTTCAAGGTAATATAACTTTTTTTTTTTTTGGGTGAATTTTACTTGTTGTCTAAAAGAGTACCGTTGTTAGATTGAGGATAAGGCTGGTGTCGATGAAGTTACTCTTTCTCGTACCTTTGGAAATGAAAAGTAAGTGCAATAGAGGGGGGATATACACGTTTATGGAGAAGAAAAGAAAAATTAAGCGAGGAATTATAGGATTCGTGTCTTGTTCTCCATCTCTGATATCAACAACGCTTCCCCCGAAGGTTTCCTTCCTGAGGATGATATGGTTGAGGCCGAGACTGAGGAAGATGATGAAGCCGTCTCTTTCCCCGTTCGCGCTTCCGTCACCATTGAAAAGGTAAACAAGAAATTAACTGGATAGAAAGCAGTATTTTTAAACTTGTTTGATAATGTTAGGATGGTCAAGGTGCTGTCACAATTGATACTGTTGCCCAAGATGGTGAGATCGCTGTCGAAAGTGTCATGTATTATAAGGACGGTAAATTAGCTGATGAACAATCTGCTGAGGCTGACTGGCAACGTCGTGGACTTTACATTGGTCCTCAATTTGCCGAATTGGATGAAAACCTCCAAAACCTCTTTGAACGTTACCTCGAAGAGCGTGGTATTAACACTGCTTTGGCCAACTTCTTGCCCGATTATGTTGAGCATAAGGAACAAAAGGAGTATACCCAATGGCTCCAAAACATGAAGAACTTCATCTCTGCTTAAAAAGTTCTTTTTTAAATAAAAAATTGTAATATATAAATAAAAATAAACATGCACACAGAATTTTAGAGTTATCGTGACTTGATTTTTTAAGCATTGTCCGTGTAACTTGCTCTTTTTATAAACTCAAGGATGTCAAAATAACTTTTTTGCCCCCCACAAACATAATTCATTTTTTTATGGTGAATAAATTTTTTATTCTCAATATTTATCATGAATGCGATTTATCCAATTACATGGGAATGAGGTTACGAGGGATATAAGCTTCTTCAAGATAATTAATTTCCTCCTCAGACAATTTGACATCAAGGGTTCCAATAATATCATAAAGGTTTGATTCTCTAGAAACGCCAATAATTGGACTGGTAACGTGCTTTTTAGTCAACATCCAACCTAAAGCAATCTGAGCAGGGGAATGACCGAGCTTTTCTGCAATTTCAACAACACGATCCACAATCAAATCATTATTGACACTTTCCTTCTTTGCGAAGAAGGCATTGATAGCAAGGTCACTTTGGATACGAACAGAGTTACGGTTGTTACCAGTCAAGAGGCCTCTGGCAAGAGGGGACCAATGGATGGAGGCAATACCACTATCAAGACAGTAAGGAATCATTTCACGCTCCTCCTCACGATATAACAGATTGTAGAGATTCTGCATACTAGAGAACTTGGTCCAACCGTTCTTTTCGGCAATGGCGTTGGCTTTTTGGAATTCCCAAGCAAAACAAGACGAACAACCAATGTATCTGACTTTACCAGATCGAACCAAATCATTCAATGCCTCCATGGTTTCTTCAATGGGCGTATCCTATATAGAAACCAACAGTAAATTTTCACAAAAAGTCCATTTATTCACAGACACCCACTAATAAAAAAAAACTTACATGATCGAAACGATGAATTTGATACAGATCAATATAATCAACGCCAAGTCTCTTCAAAGACCCTTCAACAGAATCGAAAATATGTTTTCTAGACAAGCCATACGAATTGACATACTCACTTTGACCATCTAATTTCTTTCCAAGTAGATTATTACTGATATCTTTATCGACAGTGAAGTAGACCTTGGTAGCAATTACGATACGAGATCGAGGCATGTTGAACTTTTGAATGGCTTTACCCAAGATACGCTCACTTTCACCGTTCGAATAACTTTCGGCTGTATCGAAAAAGTTAATACCAGCCTCATAAGCTTTACCAATCAGATAGAGAGACTCTTCTTCATCCTTAACCCAAGGTTGCCATTTGGAAGACCCGTACGACATGCAGCCCAAGGCAAAACGCGAAACCTAAATATGGAATAAGTATGTTGAAATGCCTACGTGGACATACACACTTCAAAAAATGGTATTACTTACTCTTAAGCCGGTGTTGCCGAAGCGAACATATTGCATCTTTGGAAGAACTTTATTTTCAGTCATAGCGAAACTATTGATTATAAATACAAAAAAATAATTACGGAAACGAAAAAAAAAAGAGCTTAATTTATAGTTTTTATTTAACTCATGGTTGATGAAGCTACCATATATGGTAGTGTGTATACGTCATGTTCTGACCCTTACAGAGTATTAGATAAGAAAAGCTGAAACAACGCCAAGGTAGTACAAACAGTGCACATCTAACTTTTTGTTCAATGAGGGTGCACTTTGTCGGAAATCGGGTCTGCCGTGTTTGCGGATTTAAATAAAAAAAGAGCATAAAGATGTATCACCCAGAAATTTCTTCATGTAGCTCTAACAATGTCGTTCCAGACCTCAAATGTTATGGCCGTGTTTGCGGATTTATGGCACAGTTTATTATTGAGTCGTAAGAAGCAAAATTATTTACAAGGTTACATGAATGTAACTGTTGCTATCAAAGCAATAGTGTCCGTTTTCACGGATTTATTAAACATATTCACTTAAGTAATTACAAGAAGAGAATAAGGGGTCACACACTATAAAGAAAACTTGTTTGTTCATAAAGCAAAAGCTGGTATAGCGACAATGTCTACATCGATGTGTTTTTTTTAAAAAAAAATTGCGCTATCTTCTTCTTTCATTTTACATATATCAAGGTTTATTCACACATTTAAAGTTGATTTGTATCTACAGAAACCCGAGTTTTATGAGCTACAAAGTGCTAGATTTGTTTTCATAACATGACTCCTTTTCATTGCTATATTTTACTAAACCTTCCGATAAAGAATTTGCTAACGTAGTGACATCACACACATACCTAGATAATCTGATAGAATGCTTTGTTGTCGATCACTAACATCTTTAAAAAGATCTATTCTTTTTTATATAATTAATTGATTATCTCATCTTGATATAATTATATAGTTTTTTCTCTCATGTTGATAAAAAGCACTACTTTCCAAGAAAAGGGTAAACAATTATTAAGTTTATTTTCCACAACCAAATGAAAAATTATGACAAGGAATGATAAAGGTACATCGTTTTATACACGAAAGCTGCTTTCTGATTTTGGCTGGGACATGGATTAAAGTTATGCTTGGATCTAGTTACGATTATACTATCGGTAGATGATTCCTTTCTTATAAAGAAGCGTCAGAGAGCGATCAATGACAAAAATTGTTCAATCAAGAATGATCCACCTCAAATGCTTGCTTTGCTTTTTTATCTTTGACCTCTTCATATCTTTATATTCCTTTAATATATCGTCTTTTTTTAAGACTAAAACGGAAACGATTAATAAATCCTAGTTTCATTTCCCTGTGTAAAAAATATTGCATTCTATTATATTTCAAAAGCAATAACACACAGTTAATTGTACTTTTTGCCACAAGAGAGTACAGAGGGTATTGATATTAAGCGTTCATCATCAACTCGAGTCTTGGTCTCGTCTAACATACCATTCAAAGCACCAAAATTAGCTTTATCGAGTTTTTTTTTTAATCAAACGGACAAAAGGAGTAACTTGGAACAAGTACATACGTATTAGTTCATATTTTTCTCATTAAACTGTAGCCGGTTAAAATTGACAAACTTGTAATTTTTTTTCCGTGCGGTATTTGCTGCAGTCGGGTTAGGGTTCTGAGATTTGACCATGTTATTTTGTCATTCTTTAGAACCATTATCAAACGGGTACAGGCTATCTCAAGCTATAATTTATATGATTTCTTTATCAGCATGAGACATGACATAAATACAGCTTATGGTCAACGACAGTAATCACGTGAGAGCTTTATATTGACCACACAATAGTACTAGAAGGTCACTTGTGGCCCAATCTTCTCTTTTTCTTTTTCCATCCCTCCTCTTCTCTCTCAAAATTTACTAATCTATCTCAAAACATGGTAATAAAAAACCATATTCGACGAACAGCGTATGTCGATAATGTATGCTGCGAATGCGGCAGTCCTTATTCCAGCCCCAGTTATCTTATTAAGCATATGATGGAAGTGCACCAAATCCAATTACACCCTCGAATGCAAAGCAGATCCCGTCCAACTTCTACGCAATACGAATTTGTGAAGAGCAAATCCGATCCTCATCAATGTTTATTCTATGGATGTCCTTCTTGTTGGTTTTATTGCCCTCAAGATTTGCAAAGACTTGCTAAACATATACGGGATACGCATCTTGTGGACCTAGAAGACGGATATGAGACACCGGAATATGAAGAGGAAAAAAATGTAGTCTATGAGCATCGAAACCCTGTTGCAGAAAAGGAAATATTTGAAAAGATTATTGATATTACAAACAATTTTAAAAAGTTGTTTAGTACAAAATAGCTTCCCCTCTATCTTTAAAACAGTAGTTATAATAATAAAAAACTGCATCTTTGTTGTCATGTAAATTTGTTGTCATGGTACAAAAATATACACGAACAGACAAAATGTTGCCAGGATAGTCTGATATAGCTATTTAAGTTGTTCATCTGATAACGACTCAAGTCTCTCTCTTCTTTATAATTCATCTCTATATTTTTATGGACTACCCATCAAGACAAGTTGTATTTTTAAGATATCCCTGCTATATCTGTGGAGCCTCTTATTCTACAGGACCTGCCACACTCAATCACATTAGCACTGCGCATGGTCAAAGTCTACCCCGTCGTAGACCTGGAATTAAACGGCCTTTTAATATGAACTACAGTTATCAGCCCGATAGAAAGATGGGGTTCGATTTATCTCATCATGGTTGCAGTAGCTGCTGGTTCCATTCCGGAGATTATGGAGAGCTACAGGAGCATGTCAAAAAGGAACACACTACTGATAAAGGCAACTTTATCGAGGTAGAGAGTGGCGATGAAGAAGAAGAGGAAGAAATCCAAGAAATACATAAGGCTAAAACGGTTCGTTTTGAAGATAGTAACAAGTCTATGAAGGATGAGCCATATGATATGACAGTGGCAACTACTATAGCTCGGCAGATAGTAGATCTTGGGGCTATGCTTACTAAAATTCTTAAAATGTAAACTAGTAGGCTTTATTATTCTAATAAAATTTAATGTCGTTGAGTAGCCAAGAGTTCTTGCATTCTTTGTTGTGTCTATACAGATACATAGAAATAAAAAAGGATGAGCCATTCACATTTTTTTATTTTGTTATCGATTCTTTTTTTTTATATACCTTTGATGTCAAATAGTGAAACACGGCTTCTTTCACCCAGGGCTGTTTGTAGAAATCTGTTTGACGTACATCTTCCAAATTGACCTTTGTCTCACCAAGAATAACCTAGAAAAATACAATGCTAAGTACACCCTCCCTGGGTTTCCGACGAGTAACCTTCTCCCCCCCCCCTCCCCTTGTGTTTACCTCTAAATCTCTTGCCTGACTCGTAATCCACTTGTTAATAAACTCAATAGGATCCCTCGAGAACTGGGTCAAAAAATCACGCTTGATCTTTGAGTTGTTAATACTTTGAACACATTGTACAATCTTATCATCCAATCCCATGATATCTTTTTGGGTCTGACTAGAAGCCACAATATTCATCATCTTTTGACGCACGACACTATCAAGTTCTACATCCATATCATAAGCCTTTGTCGATTGATTAAACTGTTTGTCTACACGAATGGTGTAATTCAAGACAATAGGATCTGGTCTTGACAGATGCTGACTGATCAAATCTGGTAACTGTGAAAAATGGATTTGTGAAAGACCACCGAATAACAGACTTAATTTGTCATTACATTTGATTAATCGCTTATCCTGCTCATCTTGTAATTTGTTTTGCTAAAAGATGTAAGGTGTTAGTGCATTACATTCTCTGGCGACGGAAGGGGGGGGGGTTATTAAATCACTGATCTACCTTGACGTAGTTCCAAACTTCCGTGATGACATGAGGTTTGGTTGCTAATTTCAATGCTATCAAGTTGGATAAACCTCCAGATACCTTATATTTATTGGGATTGAAATCGGGAACGAGTATAATTCGAGCGTTTACTGCCACATCGCCTTTACGCTTTAATTCAATACCATCAGAATCTGTAGATGAAGCTTGTTTATGCCACTACAAGAGAATTCACTTCTTAATTTAGTTTAACTTTTCCCCTTCTTCAAGCTATATATTTACTTCAGTGATATTTCCTTCTGGAAACATTTCCGGATCGCGATCTAATTCAACAAGGATGGATTTAAAAAAGGATGTGAATTTCTGGATAGGTTGAGCTTTCTTGGTAGGAATCAAAGGCTAATAATAATATAAATCAATGAATTTTTTTCTTGAATGAAAAAGTCTTATTTACGTCTAGTAATCTTCCTTCCACTTTGAGGGTCCAGGAAGGTGCATTCTCATTGTTTAAATCAAAACTATTAGGTTCGTCAATTTGTGATGTCTGATCGGCTGCTGTGTTTGATACAAAGATACGCAACGTGCGTCGTACTTTGGTTGGTTTTCCAAGCGCTTCTTGGATATCCAAACGTTTTCTCATAATGGACACATCGAGGTTCTTTTCAAATTCGCAAAGTTCGGTATAGAGTTTGGATTCTGGAACATAAGCTTCAATCTTTTCATTATGAGAATTAACATTGGGGCTGAATTAAAATGCATGTTTTTTGTTTGTTACCTTGGGTGGTATGTTACGATCGGTTGGTCTCTTTTTTCTACAAGATATGGTTAAAAACACGAAAAAAACTTTTTTGTTTGTCTGTCAACAGGAAAATAAAATGCATTACTTTATGTGTTTGGTAATGGAGTCTGATTCATTTGGTCTTTTTCTAATTTGAATAGGTGGATTGATAACGTGGTGTTGCATTTTTGGGATAAAAAGAAAAAAGAAGAAATAAAAAAAAAATAATCATAATTCGAATTCAGGTGTTACTTTTTTATTTTAAAAGAAAGTCATTAAAGCAAAACAGGCATAAAAGAGACCAACGGGATAAGCAACCAGTAACCGTTGCTCGTTTAAATGAAGTACACTGGAAAACATACCCGAACTAGAATAAGTACACCATAAAATACTAATGACGGTCAAGATAGAACCGATAATGTTGTCCAACTTCAAGACCACACTGAATCCACTCAACATCACCATAGGTAAAAGACAATAACCCAATACACTGGCAGTTCTGGACCAATCAATTCCATTTTCACTCATCATGTTTAAAATCAAATAGATGGAAACAACACCCATCACACCAACACCGTAAATATATCCAAAATGTGCTTTTCTAGATAATAATAAAAATGTGCCAAATAAGAATATGAATAAAAGAGGTCCTGCCAAATCCGTGTCATCCATAATAGTATGAGGTACAGTTCGGAAAGGATTTAATACCGCCAAACTCTATGAAGTGTGTGTGTGAATACAAAAAATTATTTTTCAGTTGATAAAACGGTACCTTTGTCTTTATATGGCCAAAGTTTAAACCAAGTTCTTCTAGTAAAGGTGGTTCATCTGCAAACCCACCTGTACCAAACGCGCTCCAGAAAGAACCAGATGTGCCTGAGGTATAATCGTAATTAGGTGAACGCATATCTCCCGAAGGAGCGCTACTGTAATAGTTGCTGTTCGTGTTGGCACCAGCACTGTATTGATCTCCATAAGTGGATGAATAAAACTGTAATCCATCGCCAGACTGTGCAGATGCTGCTTGTTGTGAATAATATTGACTATTGTCTTGACTATTGTCAAATAGTACAGAATGAACTGGTTGTCTTCCTGCCATTTTTATTTTTATTTTTATGTAAGGTACAGTAAAAGAGAAGACTTAACCGTTACCAGTCTTTCCCAATTAAATAACACTGTCGGCATCTCACCACGTCACAAAACACGAACGGGGATTCAAACCAAGGTTTTAACTCGATCTCACTTTCACGCATTGACAATATGTATGTAGGCACTGCAAATTTATTTAATAGAGTGAGTAGGGGGAGTATATGTATAAATTAAAACAATGAGAGCGAGAGAAGAAAAAAAAAAGAGAGGGAATGTACAATGCTTTCTTTTGTTGTTATTGTTTATATTTGGGTCATTTGTTGTGGGGTATCGTCCTCAGTGTGAGGTAAAACAACACCATCATCATCCGCAATCATCTTATCAGCCATTTGTGATTTTTCTGTCGTGATATATACAGCTGTTTTTTCCTTGTTGACAACTTTACTATCAATAATCACTTGCTTGATACAAGACGCTGGTGCATCAAACATGGGCTCCAATAGAAGGGTTTCCTATAGTAAAAGTTAACTACAGCCCCCATTTACTATAATCTTTTTCCTACCATAATGCGTCTTAATCCACGTGCACCGGTCTTTTTTTCCAAGGCTTGAGAAGCAACCGACTTGAGAGCATTTTGACTAAATCTCAGGCTAACGTTGTTCAATTTGAAAAGTCCCTCGTATTGCTTCAATAAGGAGTTCTTGGGTTCCTTTAATACACGAACAAGATCGTCTACCTGAAGATTATTGACTGACGCAACTACTGGAACACGGCCCACAAACTCAGGAATCAAGCCGTATTTTACAAGATCCGTAGGTTCAACCACATGCAAAGACTCTTTACTTTCCTCTACAATATCAGATTCTGATTTCAAATGAGCATCAAAACCAATTGACTGTATTAAAATATTGTTTAGTTTTATATACTACACTCCAATATACATATTTTTTATATGTTACCCCTTTGGAAAGACGATCGCCAATAATCTTTTCTAATCCAATAAAAGCACCACTTAAAATAAAAAGAATGTTGCTCGTATCGACAGAGTATGTTTCACCCTTGTTTGGAGAGCTCAAGGACCCACCCCCACCTCCAGGACCGCCTCGCTTATGGTTACCCGCTCCTGATTTATCAGTCACATTTACCACAGTTCCTTCAAGCATTCTTAATAGAGACTATGAATTAAGGCATTTTTTTAGTGGAAATACAGGATATTTTGTGTATAGTTTTACCTGTTGAACACCTTCACCTGATACATCTCTCGAGGCAGTATGTGAATCAGATCTTCTAGAGATTTTATCCACTTCATCGATAAACACAATACCCGTTTCTGCTTTTTTTACATCAAAATCACAAGACTGAAGTAATCTCTGGATGACTAATTCAACGTCTTCACCAACATACCCAGCTTGAGTAAAAGGTGTAGCATCAGACATGGAAAAGGGCACCTGTAATACTTGTGCTAATGTTCTAGCTAATAATGTCTTGCCTATACAAACAAACAATTATGGATCAGTATACTTTTTAAAAAAAAAGAGGGTCATTGATATTTTTTTTTTTTTTTTTTTTTTTTTTTTTTTACCTGAACCAGTGGGCCCGATTAATAGGACATTACTTTTATCATGCACGGTAGAATCTTCCTCTGCACTTGTATCAAGATTTAAAGCGGACTCAATATCTGGTACAAGAACTCTGCCGTTATTATTCTCAATGGCTTCTGTGGGTGGATTTAACCAGGCACGTCTTTGTGCGCCTAACGACAACGATGCTTAATTAAAAATATCCTATTTTAGCAAACAATTTATTTTCCTTACCATAGGATAAGGCTCTTTCGGAAGGTGGTGGGAATTCACTTGTATGGTTTTGAAGAGGTAATTGCGTGGAATAGTAATCTTGAGGTAAAGTGGGGTGATGATGTTCTGCGTGCATACGCTCTTCGCCTTCCACTAACTCGCGCTCACGCTGCTGCCTCTTTTGTTGTAAATGGTGTCTCTTCATATTGGCTCTGACACGGTTATAATGGTTAAATATAGCTACGGCAAGCACCTTTTTGGCCCTTTCTTGACCAATGACATATTCATTGAGATGCTGAACAATCTAAGAGTAATGTATACATTAATTGACTCGTGTTTTTTAAACAATTTTTCTGTTTCTTTACCGAACGTGGGTCCGTCAATTGAGCCAGTTCTAAATGAGCAAAAGGATCTTCTGGTTTTGTAGGTGGAGTGGATATGGGAGTTGTAAAATTATCTCTGCCCATAAGTCCTCCGCCGCTATATTCGGCACTATGATAAGACCTTGATAAGATGGCTGGTCTAACATAGACTGAAGAAGTAGTTTTGAAAAGTGGTGCATAAATAGAAAGTCTTTTCATATTGCGGGTGTGTGAATAAATAAATAGGGAAAAAGAAAAGAAAAAGAGAGATGTTACAAAAGTAGATTGTTTTTGTACCAATGAGATGACAATGCCAGAGGATTTTTGAATAACCGAAGAAATTGGTTTAATGCATTTTTTATTTATTTACACAAAATAATGGGAGGAGAGAAAGAAGAGAGAGAGAGAGGAAGAGATTTGTTTTCAAATACAAGATATTGGTAATATTTTAAATTATTTAAAAGGTAACATGGTTACCGGATCCAGCACTACTGAATCCGCCACGAGAAGCACCGAAGCCACCACGGCCTCCACGGTCTCCACCACCAAAACCACCGCGACCTCCACGGTCTCCACCGCCGAAACCACCACGGCTTCCACGATCTCCACCGAAACCGCCACGGCCTCCACGATCTCCACCGCCGAAACCACCACGGCCTCCACGGTCAGAACCAAATCCACCACGGCCACCACGAGGAGCACCGAAACCACCACGGCCTCCACGATCTCCACCACCGAAACCACCACGGCCTCCACGATCACCACCGAAACCACCACGGCCACCTCGTCCACCACGGCCACCGCGAGCGGGGAAACCGGAGCTTTGCTTCTTCTCGACCTTACCTTGAAGACCAGTAGGCTTACCAGCTTTTTTTTTTAAAAAAAAATAAAATTGAGGTTAGTTCTATTGTACCTCTCCCTCTCCTTTGCAGTTTGTATATTACCCTTTCCGGCAACCTTAGGCTTGGGTAAGAATCTATCCATAGGAAGGAGCTTATCGAGTCCAATATAAACCTTATCATCAGGCTTGAATGTAGTGGCAGACATACCACCTTCCATCTTGACGGTGAAGAAAATTTCGTTTAAAGGACCAAGAATTTCGTCAACCTTACCGATAAGGGTTTTGTCTTGGAGATAAATAGGTGCGTTGAAGAAAGGAACCTTGGGGTTGTTTAATTTACAGACCATCTCACCTTCACAGGCGCTGACAAAAACACCAACGACTAACAAATATATACAATTTAAGCATTAAATCTTTCTAAACGTCTTGTATTCTATGCCTTCTGAAACTTACCGACAACTTCGGAAGGAGGTCCTTGGTTGAATCCTCCACCACCGAAACCACCACGTCCACCGCCACGGCCTAATGTCAAATGTCAAAAAAAAAAAGATCTCTTTTTGTTGCACATGTTTTCTTTTCATGCGGGAGCAACACGATATTTCGTTTCTTCCTTACCTCCACGGAAACCACCACGGCCACCACCTCTTTGTTCACCATATCCACCTTTACCCATTTTTAATATATATGTATGTTTTAGGGTTGTTTAAGAAAAAAGAGTTTTTTTCATTCAGCAAACAGGAAAATTTTGACAATTGGAAAAAGCGGGACATGAAAATAAAGCCGTCCAAAAGGCCTCAAATGTGACTCTTTTCATATTCACTCTGAGTGTTCCCTAATCACGTCAATGTACCTTGACTATTATGAAGATGTCCCGTCTAGGTGTCAATATATCTTTTTGTAACTGATTCAAAACTTATTCTCAACAATTAGGCATCTTTTAATTCAACTTGACATGCAAATATCATAGGACTAACACGTCTGATTTTTATAACCTGCACGAGACGACTTCTTTCTTGATAGACATGCGACTCAAGTCTCATCTATAGGCTGTCGCCCACACATAATATATGCAAGATATTCAATACAAATCCAAGAAAAAGCTACATATAGCCATCAGCTTCTTAAGACTGATGTAATTTGATAATTATCAACCTTTTTGTTAACGATATATACACACTATATATCCAGCCTATAATCTACTTGATACTCTATAGCGATCCTGGCCAAGACTAGCAAGCCATTTACAGTATGTCCATCAACTGAGGCCACCTTCCTATAGCAAAGACTAGCTGTACCCGTAATATCGCAAGAATGGTAATGCATGTTTTTTATGTTTTTTTTAAAAAATTGAGCTAATAATTTAGTGTTTCTTGAAAAAACAAAAGTTATTATAAACTAACCTTTTAACTTTTATATATAATAAAAAGAGAAGTATGTTAAAGGAAAAGAAAAAAGGAAAAAAAGTGTATGAACGAGACTTATTTGTAAAAATGATAAACAAGAGCTTATATCAGAACAGTGTTTGGGCCTTTACTCAACATGGAAACATTTGTGAACTTGGTAGTTGACTATCGGCGTTTCAGTAGTAGCATGTACTAATCGGAAAGCATATTTTGAGAAAAACAAAAATCGATCATTCTATGAAGTTAAGAAAAAGCCGAAATGATTTGGCTTGTCAATCAACGTAAACATTTTTCTTAGACTTAGATATGGGCAGACCATCCCGCAATTCCAAAAAATACGTTTAAAAAAAATACGGAGGTCTAGGCATTTCCGTTATATATATATAATAACGTCGTAGGTCAGCTTCTTACTTTGTCTAGCTGACAACTCTGTTAGAAGGTCTGTATAATGATAATTTGTTGCGCTCTGTGAATCATCAAAAGTGTCGGCAATTCTAAAAGAAAAAATGTATATACAGTATACAGGCTCTCTTTTAAAATAATCGATAAAAGGTTCATCAACATCTAATTCGGAATTCAGTCACTCTTTGTATTTATAGCTTTTGGAAAGACCTAGAACTCCCGTTTTCAATGGTTTCCCTTTAGGTATATTTGTTTATGGATGGAATAAAAAAAATTTACGCCACCAAGAAAAATGTGATAATTTCCTTCAATTTGTTTTTCGTAAGGCTTTAGGAAAATTTTTATCCTTCAATCTTTTAGCTGACACTGGTAACACTATTTTATGACTTGGTGAATTTACTGTACTCTTTGTCTTATTCTTCAATCTCTTCTGAGTAACTTTCTTTTGTTAGCCGACAATTCAATATTCTTTTTTTTACAATATTGGTCAAGTTGAATACCGAGACCTTGGCTTAAAACTAGGCTATTCTCGTGGAATTTTTAACGTCTTTTGCAGTGACCTAATAACATAGTTATTTCTCTTGATAAATGAATTACCCTTTTTTGCTTCAAGAAAATATATCTCGTGGGAGGAGACATAAAGCACTTTTGGTTTATTTTTCTGAAAGGTCTACACATACATAAAAAAAAATTAACCTTTTTACGATCCTTAGTATTTACTACAAATGAAAGGAAAAAGAAAAAAAAAGGTGTGTGAATGAGTGCTTTTATGGGATGAAAACGAATTGTTGAATGTCCGACATAAACAACAATGTCGACGTCATTTTATGTGTAGGCGCAACCTCCTTTAAGTTCCCAATTGCGGATTTTTGTATTTCTTTCTTTCTTCCTTTATTCAAGGAATATATAAAAAAAAAAGTTATAAAGAATGGGTTATAGCGAATGGTCAGATGAAGAAAGTTCATCTCGTAACCATGGGCGTGATAAATTCCGTCATGAACGCAGTGTCGAACGTGACAGAGCCTATGGTAACGATGAGTATGAACGCTACGACCGAAAGAAGCGCGGTCGTCGTAGCCCTACTCCTCCTGAAGGTATATAATTTACAAATTAACTACACATTTTCAAACATCTCTACTTTCTTTTTCTTATACAATACTCTCCCATCTATTTCTATATCTACCACTCTTTTTTTTATATATTTTCTTTACCTACTCTTAATTCTTTAAATCCAAAAAAAAAGAACGCAGACACAAAAGAAGACCATCGTTTTCACCACCACCCATGAGAAACTATCAAAACTCGAGACCCAACAGAATCGAAAGAGACATGAGAAATGATCCGGACACCGATCATTACATTCCCAACTATGAACGCGATGGATATGTACCTGGTCCTCGTTATGGGAATAAGCCTGAAGTAGTGTCAAACCCTCCCTTTGCCGGTCCTAATAATTCTGGTCCTGGTGGGTTTCCTATGATGGGTACGGACTTGTAATAAAAAATGCAATACGCCTGTTAATTAACCTATTTCCAAATTAGATATGATGAATCCCCAAATGGTAAATGGAGGTTGGGGTGGCAACGTTGGAAGGTAAAAAAAAAAAAAAAAAAAAAAAAAAAAAAAACCTGATTTCAATTTCATTGATACCTTGTAACATGTACTCAACATCTTATATACAATAACGTGCAATAGGTTCTCTATAGATCCTAATCAACTGGATTATCTCGTTCCATTCAAACAATTTTATGATTACACACGTAGAACCGCCACTAGACGTATTGATGATGAAGATATGCAAAAGCGGTATGCACATTATAAAGAGAAATTTGCTGCTCGTCAACTTGCTCAGTTCTTTGTCGCTAATAAGGATAAGGAATGGTTTCAAGAAAAATATCATCCCAAGTTATCACAACCTCGTTATCAAGATATCAAGTTGCGTAGAAAACGGTATTTAAACAACTTTTTAAAAGAGCTGGAAAATGGTGATTATGATGATGTGCGTTTTGATAATGATGGACAAGGAAACCTTACACCTCCCCCCGCTGAAATCGATGACAGTACAACAGAGACAGACGCACCAAAACCGGATGAAAGCAATAGCAATGATGAATATGAGACACGATTGGTCATCAAAACCGTTCCTCCCACTATCCCCAGAGAGAAAATTTTGGAGGTAAAGAAAACATTAGAGTGTGTGTCGATAAAAAATGAGAGGGGAGAGGCTACAGAAAAGAAATATCAGAAAGACTAAAACAATAACTTAGATGTGCAATAAAGTGGATGGCTTTGATTATTTATCCCTTTCAGAACCTGGACCCAACAAGAAATTTCACAGAATTGGTTGGATCAGTTTTAAGGAAGGCACTGATATGAAAAAGGCATTTGAACTTATGGATAATCAAAAGGTGGACGATTTTGTCTTCCATTTAGCTATGAATCGTAAGGATGCTGTCACAACACGTGTTCCACGTATCGCTCCTGATATCTCCAACACCACCGAAAGATTACAAAAAGATCTCGAACAGGCCAAAGAGCTTGCTTTAGCTCTTGAAGCTATTTTAGGTGAAGATATTCCAGATGGATTAAAAGCCGTAGAGGCGCGTGCTCAAATGGTCATTTCTGAGCGCGTTAAACCAGAAGAAGAAGATGTAAAGAAGGAAGGCAGTGAGGATGGAAAGGTTGATGATGAGGATAATGTTGATAGATGGAATTTAAAAAAGATGTTAGATATGATTATTATATATTTAAGACGCGTTCATATGTATTGTTACTACTGTGGCCTCGAATGTGATTCTCTTGAAGAGCTGAACAAAAAGTGTTGCGAACCTCATTGTCGTGCCACTGCCAGTAATGTCATTGATGAAATGAATGATCCCAAACAAATAGCAAAGAACGAGCGAGGAGGTACGATAATACAAAAACGAAGGAGCTTAACCGATTTACTTACAATTTATAACAAAGTCGCACAATGGGCCAAGAACTTGGATCAAAAAATTTCAATGAAAATTCATACACCTGATGATCGTGAACTCAAACGATTAGGTGGACGTGTTTTGCAATCGTAAGTTTTTACTCATTTGGTGGAACAATAGAGACAGGCTATTAACTTTTTTTATTATTATTGGGATTTGTTTCTAGTGAGATTGATGATTACGTAAAAGAGCATGTGTTGAAGGAGCATGAATCAAAATACAAGTGCCAAGTCGGCGAATGTTCAAAAGCATTTAAAGGATTTGATTATGTCGAAAAGCATATTCTGTCCAAGCATCCCGAAGAAATTGAACGTATAAAGGGAGAAGTGGAATATTACAACAATTATGTGTGTGATCCCAACCATTTGATCCCTAGTCCTAACACAAATCATTTAATGAATCCTTTGCCGAATAATATGTCTTTTGGCCAACAAGCACAACCATTCATGATGGCTCCTGGACCTGGTGGGCCTGGTAACATGCGACCTCCTCCTTTACCAATGGGCGGTATGCATGGCGCGGTTGCTGGTACACCTTGGGATCAGATACCTCGTATTGGCTTTGGTGCTGATAATGCACCTGCAGGTTGGACAACTGCCGTCAATGCTGCACGAAGAGCAAGAATACCAGGCGTCATGGATCCTGAGGATTCTCTTCCTAAAGATCCCCGCCAAGTCAAGTCATACGTTGATCTGGATGCTCCTGCTGAAGGTGATTCGAACATCTCATTCTATTAAGTTTTTTTTTCTTCAAACGCCTCTTCTCTTTTTTTTTATATCTCCCACACAAATACACAATTTTAAAAAAATAAACTCTTGTAAAAAATAAACAATTTTTATATACACATAGATAATTAACGTTTTCTATAATCACGTCTTTGGTCATCGTAAGAATTATAATTGCGGTTTTGGTATCTATCATTGCTGCGTCCCTCGTACCTTTCTCTGCTACGTCCCTCTTGCCGTTCATTACTACGGTCATAACGACGGTCATTGCTATGCTCACGACGGTCATTGTACCGCGCATCGTCCAAAATGCTATCAAAATTTCTTTGAACCGGAGCTGGTGGTGGGGGAGGTCGGTCTCTTTGTCTTTCTTCCTCTCGAATTTGCTTCAAGCGCTCTTTTGCCGCAGAATGCTCCATCACAGCCATTTCTTTCGCTCCCATACCATTTGGCCATACACTCACAGGTTTTGGTCGCTTTAATTAAATAGTTAGTACCTCAATTCTGTTTACTCTTATTGAAATAACTTACAGATACTGGTGGTTTTCTTTTATTGATAAACAGGCTACTGGATGCATTTGATGGGCCTGAACCATTAGCTAGTCTTGGAGGTGGGTTAATGGTGGTTGACAACGTCGTAGTATTTTGTCTGGAAACGGGGGGTGTGATCGTTTGTCGTGAAATGGGTGATGCTGGAAGTGGCGGTAAACCTCGGGACGCACGATAAGCAGCCATCGATAATTTACTGGTAGGGGTAGAAGGTGCGCTAGGTGCTTGAGCTGGTTGGGTCTTTTGCTCTTTACTGCGTCTTACTTTTTCTAAAAATGAAATTGATTTGTCGTTTACCGGTTCCATCGTCACAGAAGGAGGCTCTTCCATCTCTGTATCGCGACTACTGTTGTTACTTATCTTCCTGCTGCGAATATTTGCGTGATCGACAGATGAATGGCTACGTTTTGTCATTGCTCTCATCTGCGGACTCTCAGAATCCGAGTTAGAATTAGAGTATGGTTCTGATATTTTGACAGGCCCGCGTTTGTATTGTATTGTTTTCTTTTTGATTATTACTGCAGGTTTTTCAAAAATGTTTCGTGGTATGGATTGTTCGCTGATTTTGTGGCGGAAATAGGGGTATTCACACTATTAAAAAAGTTATGTTTTAGTAAAACAGACCTCCCGCTTCTCAAATTTTTTATCTTACATCTGTGATTAAAGATCGTTTTCTAGCATCGTCTACCAAGTCGCCCCAGTAATCACTATTATACAAAGAACGGGCATTGCCTAGTACAAATAAGGAACATTTTGCACGGGTGAGACCAACATTCATACGACGCATATCGGCCAAAAAACCAATCCCACGACCTAATTTTGAAATAATAAAAATTGAGTTCTTTTAGGACTTCTTCATAACATTTTGGATACAAACATTACCTTGACCGGCTCTTACGCAAGAGAAGATGATGATTTCTTTCTCTTGACCTTGGAATCCATCAACGGTATTAAAATCAATAACATCAACAATGTCATTTCCAAAACGTTTTTGGAATTTGGATTTCAATTGACCGACTTGTTGTTTATATGGTGTGATGATTCCGATTTTAGAGGCAAATTTGACAGTGGGTAATTTGGTGCAAAGCATATCTACTAGGGCAACAGCAGCATCTGCCTCAGCTACATTATATATGGATTTACCACGGCCCATTTTTTCTTGACCATCTAAAACGTTGAAAAATCTATACGGAGGGAATTCGGGTAAGTTGTGCCAGACAGCCAATGAGCTCTTCTCCATGTCAGGTCCGTCCAATAAGCGAGATTTGTAAAACAATTTACTGGGAAACTGACTAATATCAGGATGCATACGATATTGTATACTCAATAAATTGACCTCTTGGGCGATTGTATGTTCCAGACGCATAAAAAGACTTTGCTGATAATGATATTTGGCAGCCAAAGTAGAGATAACAGTAGGAGGCAATTGATTAGGATCTACATATAGGAAGGGTTAAATTTTCATATGGAGTTTTTGTAAGACCAATAAAGCTACTTTACCACCAACAAGGATACATCTTTGGGTATCGAATTTTAATGGAATCAACGAACTAATCTCAATCGATTGAGCAGCTTCGTCGACAATCACAGTCTCGAAAGAAACGCCCATGGTTGTCAGCATATCATGACCACTACCACTCAAGGTAGCACATACAACATCAGCATTCGCAAACACCTTTTGACGAGCACGCACACGCGAAATCTCCATTTCTTTGCCGTGATTTTTTTGATCTTGGAAAGTGTCCTTTAACAAAATTTTGGAACGCGTCAATTTTTGACTAAGCGCCTTTCGCTTATCACGTAAAATGGACATTTGGACCATATCACTCCCCGATTGCGTAATCTCACGGTCTACATCATCGAGACTGATTTGGATGTTTCGAATATCTTGATGCAAACTATCAAGTTTGGCTCCCCATTTACCACCAGGTGCGCCATTCTTCCCACCCGACAAATCCATCTCTTCTTCTATTAAACGGTCCAAGATACGATCCTTGACACTTGCATTGACAGAATCCGCAACACCGATACGAACAATATTAGGCTGTCTTATACCACGCGAAGTAAGAACACCTTCTTTTAAACGTTTAGCGATTTCATCCACAGCGGCGTTACTGGGGGCACACACTAAAATCTTTCCGATGCCATATGGCAGTTCCGCCGTGGCATTGGTGCGTTGATCAAGTAAAGAAACAATCAATGATAGAATTGTCTTGGTTTTACCGGTACCTGGAGGACTTATGATTGAGGTGATTACTATGAGCAAATTGAAAAAAAAAAAACTGTTGTGGTACTTACCCCTGAATAAGAGAGAAACCTTTCTTCTTTTGGATGGCACAAACGATCGCTTCTGCTTGAGGTTCATTGACATCATATCTTTCACGGTATTGTTCGATTTGAGCATGTGTTGGCTTAGGTGCGGGATTCAAGTTAGGCTGGATGATATCTTTACCTAAATCATAGAACTCGAGACCTTCCAAAGCTGCATATTCACGCATGGTGGTAGTCAAACTAAAAAATAAATGACAACAGAATTAAACTCATTTATCGCACCATTCAATAGAATAAATAAAAAATTACCTCATAATACGGAGTATATGCCATTGAGTCTTGGGTGAAATTGAATTCAAAAGACTGATACGATCTGAAGCAAAAAAACAACGAACAACAACCTCACCCATATTTTTTTTCTGGTTAATAGACATAATTTTACCCAAAAAAGCTCGTCCTTTCCAAGCAGTTCGATCCGAGCTAAAAAAGCTAGGTCCAAAGTGATTGGCAACGCAAACAAGGTCGTCTTGAGTCAAGTTGTTATTGATAACACTCATGGGCATTGAGAATGTGATATCCACAAAATCGTTCGTGTGACAACGTCCTGCAACAAGACAATTGGGCATCACATCCGATTGGGATAGTTGCTCTTTTGAACGTAACAACTGTGTCCAAGTTTCCAACATCAATAAAGGTTCAAAGACTGTCCTATATTCATCGAATGAAGCAAATGTCTGTGGGACATAGCTGTATACGGATTCGTTTGTGTTGGGAGGGATTTCGCGGTTATCCGTGATATCCCATGACAATAAAGTTTTGAACATGCGGTCAATGTTGGGGGTAATCTTTTGTCGACGATGCTGTTCTCTTGCACGGGCTTTAAACTTCTTGTCAATGTAACCGTTCGCAATTGGCGTATCCAATAATTTGATGGTACGCTTCGGTTTAGTTTCAAAGAGTGCTTTAACGCTCGCACTCTCAGCCTGAATGTTGGCGTTTTTATAATGTGACGTCTCTGATTCATCAAGATCATATATCAGACCTAATAACCCAGAATCATCACCTCCTTCATCAGACGACGAATCTGAACTTGACCCGGAAGAATCTATACCGAGTTGTTGACGTGATGCACCAGCAGCCGAAGGAGATTTTGCTGTAGCAATCAAACGGCGTTCGGCACGAAACTCTTCTCTTAAATTTTTTAGTTTAGAAAATCCCATAGAAGGAGGTCTCAACTTCCGACCCTTAGATGTCACGGCGAATGTGGGTTGCTTCGATTGTGGTAAAAAGACTCGCGTCATATCGGGTTTGGCTTTGGGTGCAAGTTGTTTTTTGACAGGTTGTGTCACTGTGTTTAGTGAGGTGTTGGGAGTAGCTGGGCTTGCCAAATTTATTCTATTTACAGTCGATGGTACTTCAACAATATCCATGGGCTCGGAGTCACCAAAATACTTATGCTTTTCCGTGGATTGATTATTGGGAGTTAAATCAGTGGGCGGCGGTGCCTCTGTCTTCACTTCAAACCATTCTTCAGGTACTTGTGAGTAATCCATCTCACCAAACTCGCCTTCTATATCATCATCCGAGATCTCGTGGGGCTCTGTTGCTGTCGCTGCGAAATAGGTTGTTATTTTGGGTGTTCTATATTCGGGTTTATTGGGACGAGAGGGTCCTGATATAGTTGCATTAGCAAAACTTTGATCCAAGGTTGTTTGACGAGGTTTGACAGGTATCTTTGGGGAATTCGTGGAACTCTTGGTGACCATAGTTGATGCAGCATGCCTTTGTACTGGCGATGCTGGCAATGTAGAATCAGCTATCGTAGGTTCCGAATCCATAGCCGTTGGATTATGTTTACTGGTATTAACAGATTGCCACTCGACATCCTCATCATCACTATCGTCTTTCAAAAAGATGAAATCGGTGGGTTCATGTGCACTTAATGCCATAAACAACAGATCCCTGTCACTTTTTGTAAGTTTACTTGCATTCACACCTGTGGCGGCTGTCATTAGACGATCATAAGAGTCCACGGAAATTTTGATTTCAGCTTCTTTCAAGACGTCTAATATTTTGATTGTCAATGGTATAAGTCTTGATATAATGTCCTGACGAGTAACATATATCCAGTGTGATAGTGAATCTGTCATTGTGTTGATATTGTCATAACTGAGGCTTCCATCTTTGGTCATGGAGGTAACGCTGATTGCTTTTTCAAAAAGATTTCTGGAGGTCATCATGTCTGTGGCGGTATCTAAAATGGGAACAATGATGGAAGCGACCGCGGCAGGGCGATAACTTTTTGCCCATTCCAATGACTTCTCAAGCACCGTACTAATAGTACGCCAACAAACATCCCAAAACTCACCAATCATGCCGTCTTCATCCTTTGCTTTTCCTTGTCCTAATTCTATTAGAGTCATCAAATATCCACTGGGTGCACTGGTTAATATGTGAACTTGTAACGATAGCAAATGTATCAATGACGGAACAGATTTAAACATGTCCAATTTAAGACTGCTGTTCAAGGCTATAAATTCACGCAAAATTGAATTAAAAGCTTCCAAGACTGGTAATGGGCGACATAGATAGAAAAAATCATGAAACATGTCTTGATCAGGGATCACACGAGGATATTGCTGAATGAATTTCCGGGAATCTTCATTGATTTCATGATAGGATGAGCATATTAAATGCAACATGGGTTTAATCATTTCAGGGTCGGATAAGATACTTTTTCTGACTTCCCAAGTTGCATTCACCATGATCCTCAAAGTCTTGCCAACAGTCGCACGGATATCCGCAATCCGGATCAATACGTTTTTGCACTCTTGCGATAACTCTTCCTCTCCATTCTTAGATTCTTGCAATAAATTCGGAATATCCGCAGTAGCAATATTGGAGTATGCTTTAAATAAAATTTTTGCTAACCATGGGTATTCGTTTACTTGCTGGTCAAAGCAGGATCGCATAGAAGTCCAAACAGACTCATAAGGTGATTTCTTTGGTTCATCCACATTATCCCCATTTGTAAGGTTATCTTCAATATCTTCTGTCAAGTCCAATATCTGATAAATAACATTAAATGCCTTGTTCAAGCAAGTTGAATCTCGATCCACCAGATCCGACAGAATATTTCGCGCGACGGTTGGCATATGCTGTACCAATGCGGGCAGTTTACTCGACTCAATTTTTGCAAATCCAACAATTTTTGTTACATATTCATCCATATTTTCTACGGGTACAGAATCGTCGGCTAGACACTGGTCAATAATCTGCAGGCCTAATTCTGCACAATAAGCTCTACTCATAACGCCCCAAGTGTCCATCTGAAAGTAACCAAATGTTGTATCCAAAATCTTTTGCGTGATATCCTTTTCGACTGGTGAATTTCGCAAGGATGACCAATAAGGGTATATCCACTCCAGCATACTCTTGATCTTTGCCATCAATTTGTCGTCTGGATAACGGCTACCATCCCGCTGTAAAATCTTGCCTGTGTTTCCCTCGCGCGCTATTTTCATGGTGGTCTGGAATACGGTATGTTCGCATATTTGTTTCACGATGTCATAATATGAGGTGCTGTTGGCTGAAATTGTACCCCAAAATCCTGATTGCATCTTTAATAACATTGCTGTCATTGTTTTTAAAATTTCGCCTAACCATTCTGCAGAACTTGATAACTGCATGTTGATTAGTTGCGGCATAGATATATTAGATTCTGATAAACATGAAAGCAGCATTTGAGGTGAAGCCGCACCAGTGATCAAACGGAATGTTTTCCATAATTCCCCAACATCTTGCGTAATATCAAAAGGACAATTTTTGATTTTGATTGTAAAACTGTCATCCTCTGAATCCTCTGTGAATGTTTTCAGTATGCCTAAAATCAAATCTTTGGTTTGTAGAAAATCTTGCTCCGAAAAAGTGTATTCATCCGCAGTTATGAATTTTTCTAGTAATTTTCTTGACCAGAATCGGGCGATACGTTGGTGGTGTAGTGTTATACGAAAGATGTAGGTGGCTGTCTCGGCACCAAAAGTTGGAAAGGAGCCTGTTTGTTGAATCAGAACAAATATCTTGCAGAACAAATCGTCGCATTTTGAATCATTCAATAAATGAGGGGCATAAATGGTTTCGAGCAAAGCACACATGATCTCGTTCGTCATACTGAAATTGGTTTCTTGCGATCTAAAAGTTGATTTGACTCTAGTCAGGTCGCAGCGATCAATGCGACTAAAGAACTCATCAACGGTCTGTTTTGGGAATAAAAGGTCGTATCTAAAATGAATAGGATATGTATTAACATTACTGTTTTTTTTCGAGTACATTCTTATAACCTTTGTCTAACATAATGCTTTGAAGTTTGATAAGCTTGAACACAATATGTACAAGACTGCAATTGACTATTTAGTTTTTTTTTATATTGGACGATCGGATCATGGTCAGGCAGTGAGAACAGCCAAAGGGATTCCCTTGCTATTGGAAGTGTAGCTTCTGTACACCACCAATGGTTGACATTGGTTGTCAAAAGATATGCTAAAGCCTCATTAAAGAAATTCGTTTCAACATCGGAATCTCCTGGATTGTTTCTTTTTTTCTCCAAAAGATCTAATACCCCTTGAAGCTGGGAGGTATTTTTTTGAAGACTCATTACGTTTATAATTGTAAAAAAGAAAAAGGAAAAAGACAAAAAGTGACTTTTTTTAAATGATCCCAAAAAAAATGCTTTGTCGCGTCTCGCGATCAAGCGTGCTTGATTGGTTACTCATTGCAATATCCATAAAAGCATGGTTTTATTATCATGCACTCTTGATAAAGTTTGAGTCTGTTCGTGCCTAGCAATAAAAGACATGTCTGCGATCACAAATATTGTGTTGAGATACAGGTGGTTCTTCCAGTTCGTTTATTGCATTTACGGATTTTTTGTATACGTGACATCAAATATCCCTGTTTGAGCATTCTAGCTAAAAGAATGAGTTTTGTTTTATATAAGCAATCGGTATCTTTTATTTTCCCGGCCGGACACTTTATATAGAAAAAAAAACCCTTCTTGCTGTGCTCCCACATATTTCATATTAAAACCCCATGAAACGATTATAATTTCAGCTTACCTTTTTTTTATGGAATAGATAAATTGCATTTAAACAGATTTAATTTATACACAACTGTCTCGCCTGATAAGAATACAACATCACTTCTGGTTTATAGATCTTTGATGAAAAAAAATGCTTTGGGTGAAATTTATTAATTTAAAAATAACCCGAGATTCTGAAGATATTTAAATGCTATGATAAAATATTAAATTTTTTGGCCGTTACGTATTATTAAATTAAAGAAGGACATACTTTATTGATTTGCTAAGCTTTATGTAAACTTCAAAATTAAAACATATTAAAAAGTGCAAAATAAAGTGATAAGTATTAAGAAATATAATGTATAAGGAAATAATTGGGGATAAAAAAAGAAGCAATTTTGTTTTTTTATCTAGGTAAAAATTATAATGTAGATGTGGGTGCAGGAGCAGCCTCAGTTTGTGTGGGGGCCTCAGTAGTTGTGGCAACGGGCTCCTCAGTTGTAGCAGCGGGTGCATCCGTGGTGGTAGCAGGGGCTTCAGCGGTAGTAGTAGTAGGAAGAGCAGTTGTAACAGGATCAACAGTTGTTGTGAATGTAGGCACCGCTGTGCTAGAAGCATTAGAAGAAATTACTGGTGCGCTGAGGGAAGTACCCATAATGCCATGATCATCAGTCATACAAGTCTCGTTGAATCCGTCCATTTCACTGAACATGGGAACATAGATGTCCATTGGAACATTTTTCTGGGTATAGACCATATCGGAAACATGGAAGTTGTTACCAACAATAACCTCTGCATGTTGCTCAACATCAACATGTTTATCGCCAAGAGCACTTTGGAGACCTTCAACAACACCAGGAAGACCAACAGGGATAGGTTGTAATTCGACAGTCTCATGAGCACCAACAGTAGCGGGTGTAGGAAGAACAAAATCGATAGTTCCGACAGTTTGGTATCCAGCAAATTCTTTGGTAAAAGCAGTACAAATAATGTTCTTCTTAGATAAAGCCTTGATGCCTAAAATTGTGATGGGGGTATCCAAAGGATTCTCAATGGTAATGTAAGCATAACCTTTGAGAGTTGTAAAGTCATCAAGACTACCAGTAACAAAAATCTTCTTGATTAAAGCAGTTTGAGTACCAGGAGCAGCAGAAGCGAGTGTAAGAGCCTTTAATGCAGGATTGAGAGGAGCAATAGGGGTAGATCTTTCAGTACCTTGAATGACCAAAGGAACAGTAGTACCGGTCATGTAATTGTAGAACATGGCACCAACAGCTTCGGCACTAGTAGCCATTTCACCCAAGTGCATGGTAGCAGTGTATGTCTTGGATCCAGGAGAAATAGTGAGATCCTTCATGTAGACGAGACCAACGCGAGCATTGTTATAAGCAGGCATGAGAACATCAAAGTTAATATCACCAACGGTAATGGTGGTATCAGAAGGATTTTCCATTTGAACAGTGAGATCAACAATAACATAGCTTGCAGTAGCACCGGAAATTTTGAGAGAAATAATGGTTACCTTCTTGTTGAAGCTAGAGAAACCTATTAAGTAAAAAGTGAATTAGTATTTTTTGAAAACTCCAAGGACTTAAATGTGTTATTTTAATTTACCCTTCAAAGTAGTATCAACAGCGAAATGGATACCAGGAAGAGTTAAATCACCAACAGAAGTGTGAGCAATAGCATTGGAAGTGCCTTGCAAGCCAAAAGTAACACTAGGACTGAGAGTCAAAAGTTGAACGAAACCAGCGAAAAGTGGCTTGTTGGCAACAACAAAAGGAACATCCTTGAAACTAGTAGTGATCAAACCAGAAGGACTAGTGGTAGCAGCATTATCAGGGACATCGAGACTGGCAACAGCATTACCTTCATAGGTAGCTTCAACCTTCATGTTAAGTTGCTTGACACCAAGAGGGAAACCGAAAGGATTAGCAAGTTGGGCCTCGACTTGAGAAGAGCTGGTAGGAGGAGCCCAAGGATCCTTGGTAAAATCTAATTGCATGTTTCTCATTTCAATGGAAGGAATAAGAACAGGAATCTTCTCAGGACCAGGTAAGATAACATTGCCAATAGTAAGAGTCTTGAAAGCAGCGGTAAGCCAGCTAACCTCACCTTGAGGACCAGAGCCGGAAACACCCTTAACAGTAAGTGTAGAAGAATTACCAGAAAGATAATGGCCAAAGACAGTAGTGACAGCAATGATACCTTCACGAGTAGTTTGAGGAACCAATCTACCCTTCATGGGAACATTGGAAGATCCTTGAGGGTTGAATACAGCAGCACCGTCGGATGAGAGGGGTCCAAGATCAACATCACCAAAGAAGTTCTCAAATGCAACACCACCAAGGTTGAAACCAACTTGACTGGGGTTCTTAATGACAGTGTTAACAGTAAGAGCAATACCACCATCGGGATGATCGGCAGGTAAATCGAATGAAGTAACGGTAACAGCATCCTTAAATCCACTAGCACCGGCCAATTTAACAATCTTGTGAAGGGCAATTTTGGTGAAAGTGAAGCCAAGAGCCTTGACACTAACATCGCTGGAGGTAATATCCCAAACAAATTCAGGGTTGTTAATTAAATAAGCAGAGAATTCACCCATAGCACCACTATCAGCAACAGTGAAGACACCAGGAACATCAAAGTCAGCACCAACAAGAGGCTTGGCATTGATATCAGCCATGGTAACAGTACCGATAGTCTTGCCTTGCCACACAACAGTAAGAGGGGCAGGGAAACTAATAGTAGCAAACATGGGTCCAGAGTCTTTAATAGAACCCTTCATTTGAACCTTGAATGACTTCTCAGTAACTTCAGACATGACAACACTCTTGAAAGAAAGAACGGATCCATCAACAATTTGTTGAACAATGGGTTGACCAACAAGAGGAACTAAACCAAGAACAGAGCTATCAGTGGCAACGGCAACACCAGCTTGAGAGAAAGCTAAATCGTTACTGTATTCACCAATATTCAAAGCAGAAGAAAGAGAAAGATCAACCTTTAAGGCAGCCATGGCATCTGTAGTGAACTTGGAGATATCAAAGTTGGTGAAGAGGTCAGCATCAGCTTCAACACTTTCTTGACCTTCGACTTCAAGACCACCCAAACCAAATAAGGCATCAAGAGGCTTGGTATCCATGTTGGATTGAACAGCAAGAGTACGGAGCAACAAGGCAACGGACGCAGGTTCCAAGTTCATGGCCATGTTGAAAGGAGCAGATTCAGCAATAGCTTTGCCACCGATGACAAAAGGATTGCTTGAAATATCTTGATCAATATTACCCATGGGCATACCACCAAACGTGACAGCAGAGACGACCTTGGTAATACTCAAGCCAGCACTGAAGGGGTTAGCAATAGAGACCTTAACACCGACAATACCAGTGGTAAGAGTATCGGGAAGAACAATTAAAGCAGAACCTTGAATCAAAGCAGCAGTAAGACCAGGAAGAGTTGAAGCGAGGGTAACAACACTAAGAGGTTCGGCAAGACTGACAATGCTAGTAGAGTTGGCATAACCAGTAATATCAACAGCATTATCGCTACCCATGACAAAGGTACTCAAAAGGTTTTGTCCAACATCAGAAGACTTGGGATCGAAAGTGGAAGTAGCAGAAACAGTGTTTTCACCACGGTTCAAAGTAAGATTGTTTAAGGTAACAAGACCGAGAACGACACCACTGGCACCCATGTTGAAGCTAACATCACCGGTAGAGATACCAAAGTCAGAGGGATTACTCATGGTTACATTAATAGCAAGATTCAAACCAGTAGCAGTACCACCAGTAACATCAAGAGAGTTAATAACAGTAGCAGTGCTGTTCAAGAAGTTAAGACCTTGAAGAGTAGTAGGAACGGTGAAGTTAATACCACTTAAAGTAATAGGACCAAGAGGAGTCATAGCCTTAGTAGTAGCACTACCAGAGACCATGAAGGTATAGTTGTTGGAAGCAGTTAAAGCATAAGTATACTTGTTGTAGATACTTTCTTGTCCAGCAATACCGGCCATGGTAGTATTATTCAAAGCAAACTTGATGGTACCAGCAGCTTGATCACTAACAGCAGCAGCGTTTTGAACATTCATGACAGCAAAGTTGGCAGTTTCAGTGCTTGAGGTGTTGATAGCAACAGTGATGCTTTGAGTAAGCTCAGTAACATTTAAAGAGAAACCGAAAGGCATTTGGAAGTTGGCAGTAACAGCAGGAGCATTGATAACAGGTGCGTAAGGAGCAGAAGGATCAAACTTCAAGTCAAGGTAACCCATACTAACACCATTAATGATCTTTAAAGGAGCAGGAGCTCCCAAACCAACCTTAAGGTTAACGGTCTTGAAACCCTCAGAGAGCCAGCCAATGGGGTTGACACCGTCAGGGGCACAAGAGACACCAACGGCAGTGGTGGTAGATACAACACCGGCAATATAGTTGGAGAAAAGAACACTGATCTTGTCCAAAGAGGCAGTATCATTTTGAGGTACAAGAGAACCCTTGAGGAGAATTCTGTTCTCACCCTTTTGGAGTGTGACACCATCAGCAGAAACAATACCAAGTGATACACCATCATAGGCAACAGCAAGCTTGATTGTACCAAGTTGGACACCGATGGGAGAAGGACTTTCTAAGACAGTACCTAACTCCATAAGAATACCACCTTTAGGATCATCACCAGGAAGACCGAAAGAATCGATTTTAACATTAGGGAAGCCATTCATACCTTTTATTTTAAAGAAAAAAAATAGAAAGAAATTAGAATAAGGTTGTGGGGTACAAGAATAAACATTCGTGAAACTTACCATTTAATGTGATTTCTTTATTAAGGTTGACTGTGGCCGTTCTATTTTATAAAAGTAAAAGTGTGAGTACGACCTATGCTTGTTTTGTATATACATGTTATATTTAAGTTTTGGGATTCTATTTTTACCTGCTAAGAGCGGTAATATCGAGCTTTCCTTTAAGGGTCCATTTGAATTCTTCGACGGCCAACATGGTCTTTGAGAACTCAGCAAAAGCAGCTTGATCACGGATCATGAAGGGAGTGACAGCATTTAACTTTCCTTTACCACTAGCAATTTTAGCTTCTTCATAAAAGAAGATATCACCGAGGTAGGATTCGTTGTAGTAGATTTGTACAGGATTATGGAACTTGATTGTAGCATGGAATGGACCGGTCTTGGAGAGATCACTTTCCATTGACATGTAAAAAGTAGAATTCATATCATCACCATCACGCTTAGAGTAGGCAGCATTGGTTAAGGACTCAGGCTTGGTGAATGAAATGGCAGCAGCAGAGACATCAATCTTGGACTTGTTCATCAAAGATTGGGCGACTTTAGGGAAAATGACATAAAGAGCCAAGACAACTGCAACAATAACAACAATGACAGTGTTGATAGAGCAAATAATCCAGTATTTTTTTGTTTTGTAAAAACGAGGTTTCGTAGGAGGGGGAGCCTTTTCAGAATATTCCTCCATCATTTCGTCGTCGCGAAGACGACCGTGGTCGTCAGAATCATGGTAGTAAGCACCATCAGACGTAACCACTTGATTGTGTTCGTATGTTTGGTTGTTATTACCAGACATCAATTATATGTATTTTTTGTTTTAATGAATGGAGAGGTGTAAGTATTAAATTAAGTAAACGGGAATTGTAAAGAGTGAATAAAGAGAGGATATAAATTGTACCTGGAAAAATTGAGTGAATATATAGACGAAAAAAATAGAAAAAATCTTTGGAAGTACCTTGTGTAACTAGAATTATTGTTGTGGATCAAAAAGATGTTATGCATGAAACAACACACGAGAATGCCCAAAAAGTGTCTTAATTTCTCATGGAACTGTGAATTGTCATACAACAAGAATATATTTCGGTTCCAGCGCCTTATTGAGTCAATGTCAAATGTTTCTTGACCTTGAGTAAACAAAATAGAAGGTAGCATTGCTTTGCTTATTCAGGCATTGATGTACTACTCTTAGATCGTACTTTTGATATATGGTTGGGCCAATTTTTTTATTTGATCTGTGTAAAGCCCGATCATCGGTGCCAAAAAGTTTTTTTTTTAAAAAAAAAGCTATACATTGGAAGTTGATTCTCAATTGGATTTTGGTAAGCTTGAAATATCTGTATTATATTCAATGTTATGGAAGCACAAAAAAAATATATATGTGTATGCAGTGCCGCAGTTCCAACTTTTTTTTTATTGTTTTTTTTTTACACGGCATACAACAGTGGTAGGAAGGAGGGACAAAATGTATAAAAAAAAAAAACTCACCCTGATCTATTCATTTGATTATAATAGTCGTGTCAAAGTTCCATTAGGGGTAGCAAAGTACTACTTCGAAATAAACTCGCACAAAACTATGTACCAGTGGGAATAACTGTCTGGTGGGAAAAAAAGATGATGAGAAAAAAAAAGCACTCTTTTGTGTAGTAATTGTTGAAAGCACACCCAATACAATACCACCGTGCACAACGTAAATAGAATAACTGTGTAATATTTCTGTTTTATCGGACCAATGATCCTAACCCGTTCTTTTTTTTTTTGTCTTCTAGGCACATTATAATTCTGTTTCCCTCAAATAAAACACCGTACGATATACACCCACTTATTTGATTAGGCGGGAACTAAGAATAAATCGTAGAGCTCATGTATTTAAAAAAGAACAGTAACAAATTTATCGAACGACAGGTCCAAAAAATTCCCTTACCCATTGATGCACAACAGACAAGAAACATTATACCGTTTATTTTCTACAAGAATTAGAATACAAAGAAACATTAGAATAGACATGTTCTTAATTTGTAAGCGATTGGCCGGAAGGTCCAGTCTCAAATCAGAGTGAACAAAAAATTACAACTTTCACTCACTAACTTTAATGTTGTACAACCCAAAAAAAAAGTAACAAAAAAAAAATCAAGTGACCATCATGTTCAAGGAATAATAAGAACCCGAGTTCCTAAATTGAACGTGACAAACAGAAAGGATCCTGAGAAAGATCGTCCATCAAAGATTCCCTGCGAATGTTTATTATAATAAAAAATAAACACTTAAAAAAAAAAAAGTTCAAACAAGGCACTTACCATCCAAATCCGGGGTAATCAATTGTTTTGTGAAACCCCCTGATTTTTCTCGCCAGAACAAAAAAACCAACTTTTTTGATTCTCTACTTTCTAATTACGACGCTACAAAAACATTTTCGCTTTTCAACGTATTACAATTTCCTGATAATCGAAATAATGTATCAAACTAATATTGGTGTCTAGAATTGTTCAACTTATTTCACATGGAAAGAAAAAAAAATTTAAGTCGAGGTTCTTTATATATTTTACTTTATTATTTACATCTGTAGCACCATACATTTCATTTATGCTACTAAACTATTAGCTCCAATGATTAACAGATGCTTGCAAATCTGGTGTAGCACCCATGCAAATGAGTTTATGCTGCTAAAATCCTTAGCTCAATAGTTGTAGAATAGTTAAAACTTGGGTGTACTACCGTTTATTGCATTTATGCCACTAAATCATTAGTTCCAGAAGTTTGGGTTGCTTTAGCGTATTTTTTTTAAAGCAACATACAGATTGTGAGTTCATTTTTTTTAGGTACATCGACGTAGTACCATTCATCGCGTTTAAATTATTAAAGGACTATTAGATTAAAAGATTCTAAACGCCTGAATAGTTGGTGCACCAATCCCCCATGAATAAATTGACGACACTGAATCCAATCAGCTTCAACGTGTGAATAACTAAACGTTTATGAACTATTCTGTATTGCATTTATGCTTCTAAAAAATTTATCGTTGAAGGTTTGGGTAAAATTTTAGCAAGTTACAATTAGTGACTTCCAATAGTGATGTGGCACCATTGTCATTGTGTTTATGCTAACAATTAAATCATTACCTTCAAAGTCATATTTTTTCTTTCTTCGTGGCGAGTGCAGCATGTTTGATGTAATACGGTAATCCAATACCATTGACAAATTTACTCCATTAAACATACAGTTTTTTTTCTTCTGCTAAGCATTAGACACCCACAAGTTTATGAACGTTAACATTGATGTTACACCACTTGTTTATTTATATTTTTAGCTTACCACCAAGTCATTCTCAATTGGGGTCGACGTTCGAATAACAGAAAAAAAAAAAGTCATCTGTATGTAAAGTTTCTAAACTTTTGTGAGAAACTTAACAACAGCTCCCATGGCAACCACCCTGACCTTAAGCCTATTTTCCGAATCATCGATACCTCTTTTACGGAAATTGAAGAATTAAAAATCAACTGATTTGGCTGTCATGACTTTTTGGTAAGACCTATCAGCTCCATTCCTAAACTAGTATAGAGGTCGAATGATATGGATAACATGCTTAGCATAGGTAACATTTTTTCTTAAAGTCAAGTAGATATATAAATAGCCTTTTTGTTTTTTGTTTTTTTTTATGGTTAAATATATTTCAGTCCCGCCACACAAGTGTGGCTCAAAAGTGTTTTTTTATATAAATTTCTTGGCGAGAAGGTTCCTTTTTTTTTATTGTTGACTTTCAAATAGATACATCTTGATTAAAGACCGAGCTATTTTTTTTAAAAAAATGGTGTTACAGTAAAACAAAAAAATATTCAAATCGATAACTGGGTAAGAGAAAAAAAAAGTTTAGGATGTGGCGAGGGGTTGACTCAATGGGTGAAGGGGGGTGACCGCTGAATAATAATAAACGGCCCGAACTAAAGAGGAGGGGGGTATATCGAATGTTTCATATTAAAATAAAGAGTGGCGTGTGGCGGGTTCCTCCATCAATACCCGGCAAAAGGATTACAGAAGATGCCAAGGCAAAGCCTGCTTAGCGACGAAGTTCGTGTGTTTAAAAAAGAAGAAAAAAAAAACTGTGACGGGGTAAGACAAAAAAATTTGAGTTACAGATTTAAAAATAAAAAACATCCTTTTTAAGTTTTATTATCTTTTCTTTTGTAAACCTTTTTTTTTTTTTTTGTATGAGTTCGGCAGAATCCGAAGTATCTTGCCCCACACCACCGGGGTTATCCACTGGTGGATTGTAATATGACTGCATACACACAAACGAAACATACACATACTTATCTTTTTAATATCTTTAGCGACCCAGGAATTGATTGGTCGTACGTAAAGTCTGACCCGACAGCCAATTGGCATGTCATCGGCTGGCTTGTCTGTTTATTATTCATCTTTATCAACTGGGTTGTATCCCTTACCGTCGTGGTCAAACACTTGAGGAATTACTAGTAAGAAAGTAAAAAAAAAAAGAAACAAAGAGAGTAAAGGAAGTGGAAAGTTGTTAACCAATTATAGCAATTTATTAGTGAACCTCAAATACAACGTCATAAATTACGGGTATTACTGTTTCCTCCTGTCTATGCCACACTTGCTTGGTTTGCCTATTTAAGATTTGACTATTCAACCACCATCATGTTTTTTGCCGTTGTGTTTGAAGCATTTGCTGTATTTAACCTGTTCGAAACTTTACAAGCTTATCTTGCTCCTTTTCGTGTCGAGGCGGCTGATATGAAGGAACCCATCGATACCAAAGTCATGTTTATCTTTAAACTTCACTTGTAAGTTTCAAATCTTTTCTCAATGTCTTTATTTTTTATTTATATTCTATAATTTAGACCCTCCAAATGGGGTATGCACTATCGTATTATCACCGATATACTTGTTTATCAATATCCTATCTGGTAAGCGTTACCTTTTTTATTTTCAAAATCAATTCCACCTTTAACAGCGCCCGTACCCCCTCCCCCCCCCCCTTTTTTTTTAATAGGTCACTTTTAGATTCATTCATGTCCATCTTTGCCGAATTAAAGGGACGCTATTGTGAAGGCGCCTATAGTTTTAAAGGGGCCTACGTGTATTTAACCATTATTAATTTCACCTCACTTTCCATCATTCTGACAGCCTTATTTACCTACCTCGATGTTTTCCATCGTGAATGGCTTCGAGGCCATGTCAAAGCACACGGCATGTTCTGGTGTGTCAAGGGACCGATCATGATCAATTTCTATTTCGGTGAAATCCTCTTGAGTATTCTCTCGACCAAGGGCGTGATTAAAGGAACCGATGGCTCCCATGGCAGTATCGCTTGGAGCGTGGATGCTGTGAAAAACGGTATCTCCACCATCATTATCTGTGTCGTCATGATGGTGGATAGTTTTATGATGTTGCGTTTCTTTGGTCCCGCTGATAATATTCAAAGTGCAGCAAAGACGGGTCAGACCAAGAAAATGTCTGCCTGGGGTGCATTTGTAGATGGTTATTTAGCGTATATTCCCGAATTCATTCATACTTTCCTGTGCTGTGGATTTGATTCTTATCGGTTAATGAAGAAACGTAGAGCATTAAGGAAGAAGAAGAAGATGGCTGCTATTCATGGTCCTAACCCCACAGATCATCTCATTGATGATAATGTGCCTGAAAACACCACGGTCAATAATAATGCCTATAATTTAAGTGAAATGGGTGAAAATGGCTTGAATTTAACTCAAAAACCCATATACCATTCACAATCTGAATATTCTCCACCTGATTATTCAAACCAACCAACAAGAGCACCCAATCCTTTTCATGGAGGAAGTTCTTAAGTTTAAAATAAAACCTTTTCTCTTTTTTGAAATGATATACATGAATTATACAGTGTGGCAAGTTCAAGTGGCTAGTTAGTAAACGAATAGGTTGTGGGAGGTTGTGTGTGTTTATATATCCTCCTTTTCTTAGGGAGTCCCAATATCATCTTTTAGCAATTATCAACAATAATTGCAATGCAAACCCTCCCACAGTCTGTCTGGGAGGTGTAGACCCTTAGGGTTATTAGTCCATCTTAAAAGGCTAATTAGCATGAACTACACACACACACAGAGAGAGAGAGAGATGAAACAAACACCTCCCCAGCAAATTGATAACAATCAATTACAGGAGTTTCTCTGTTGTTAACTATCCTGCATTGAATTAATAACCTTTTTTATTTATTAGGAGATTTTTTTTTGTGCGTGTAAATGTATCTATAAAAGCACGACATGAATCACTCTCTTTCTTTTTTTTTTTAAATAAAACAAAAAAAAAACTCTCCTTTTCTCATAACAAAAATGCAAACGGTTATTGCTTTGATGGTGATCTTGTTCTTTTCTGCAGCAATGGCGTTACCAACGACAAAAAGAAGTATTCCAATGCCCGACGGTATCAATGGTATGGGAAGACAGCATAAATCCAGCGCACCTTCCTCGGTTGTAAACTATAGTAGTAATGGTGAAACCACAAATACCCAAAGCACACATTAAATTAAATAAAAATGTATGTTTTATTTATACCATTATGTAATAAAAAAAAGAAAGCATGGAACACACAGAAAAAGAGTCGGAGAGTAGAGTGTGATTTTATTCTTGATGACTATGGACAATTAATTTTTTTTTCCTTTTCCCTTTTCTCTCTTCCTCTCTCTCTCTCCATTCCCTTTCATTCCAAACATGAGTAGCATTAAAAGCAATAGCAGTTATACCCGTGATATTCATAACATTCACAATATCAAAATTGTCCATCACCCCGACACTGTGCGGATCCAACTTGCCAATCAAACGGACGTTCCTTTCCATCAATATCTCGCACAAACCTGTCCTTCCTTATTTGGTCCCAAAGCTCAATTCAAACCCACACCTTATCTCAGATCCAAACACTTGCAAACCATCTATGCCTCCTTCTATGACGGCTCTTCCACCAAGAACGATATCACCTACGAAAGGTTTGTCGTAGATCAAAAAAAAAAATATTTTAAAATATATTTATAGTTAACAATAATAGAATCACAGACAAATCCTAGAGTTTGCCAATGGTGGTGTAGCCTCGCTCGATTGGGCCGTCCCTTTAACCCCTTTACCTGAAGACACCCCCACCTTGGTCATCTTGCATGGATTAACAGGTGGAAGCCATGAAAATTATATCCGTGGATTACTTCAAATCGTAAGATAGAATAATAAGAATGTCACTGTCTCTATTTATAACATTTCTTATTAGATTGCAAGACCACCGATTAATTACAGAGCTGTAGTGTACAATGCACGAGGATGTGGCTTTACAGAGGTCAACACACCTCAATTATTTAATGCATCCATCACAGACGATATCAGAGAGGCTCTTCGTCATATTCAAAAACAAGTAGGACAACACACTCCTTTAATCGGTATCGGATTTTCTTTGGGCTCCAACATCCTTGTCAAAGTAAACATTCATTACAAAAAAAAAAAAAAAAAAAAAAAAAATTATTATTTGCCCTAACTAACAATTCTTCAATAGTATTTGGGCGAGGAAAAAGAAAAAACTCCCTTTTTGGCTGCTATCTCTGTTGCCAACCCATACGATTTATTAAGGTACAGATCACACATATAACTCTATTTCCATATATTAATGTCACACAAAATGTAATTTTTTTTTTTCTAGTTCCGGAAGATTGCTGGATCAAGGTTTTTTTACTCGAAATGTGTATTCCCATCAAATGGCCGATAACCTTAAAAATATCTTTCTCAGGTAACAAACACATCATCCCTATGCACACACACACACACTGATAGAATAATAGAAACAAGGACATGATGCTAACGCATGGCCAAATCGACTTGGAAGAAGTCTTGGCAGCAAAAACTATCCGAGAGTATGATGACGCCTGCACCAAAAAAATGTCCAATTACACCACCGTGAATAATTATTACCGTGATGGCAGTTGTTCTCGTGTGATTGAGCATGTGCGTGTACCTTTGCTTTGTATCAATGCATTGGATGACCCAATCTCGACCGAAGCTTGTATCCCCGTAGATGAGATTCGTGTCAACCCTTATATTATTCTCGCCGGCACAAAACATGGAGGCCATCTTGGCTGGTTTGAACATGCGGTTCGACCTAGTCGATGGGTGGATAAACCCATCGCCGAGTTCATTGTTGCCATGTTCCAGGTAACCCATTGCCCTTAAAAAAAAATTGTTTCTATACAAGATAAAGATCACTGAAACATTTGTATTAGGCAAACGATACCCGTAAGGACGCTGTCAAATTAGATGTGGACGTAGTTGCACGTAGTGCTAAATCTATTAGAAAGGTTCGATTCCCCTCCTTGAATGTTTCTATTCCTCCTACTATGATGATGAAAAATCGCTAATTTCTTTTTTTTTTCTTTTTAAAAAAAAAACTAAAAAAAGCCTTCTCCTTTTGCCAATTTAAAATCCAAGTTGACGGTTGAACCCTTTATTTTCTTCTTTCTCGTTATTTTATCTTGGTTTGTATTCCATAAAAACTCTAAATAAGTTTTATATTTCTCTTTTTATTTTTTGTATATATAAAAGAAAAAAAAAAGCGTTTTTTTTTTTTTTTTAAAAAAATATTATTTTAATGAATGACGGTGAGACGATGGTTGTCACACTGCCAAATATCAAGTCCACTGTATTCACGAATCGCTTCATCCAATTGGCTTTCAGTATAACCTCTGGAAGAAATACGTTGTCGGATCGTACTCAAGGCTAAACTATGGCCAAATTCATATGTCAACTCCTTCACCACATTAAAGATACCAGACATGGGGGATTTATCTTGTCTTCCATTACGTCTTCCTCCATCATCGTTCAAAGAGGACTTACTAACATCAATTAATCGTAAGGCCTCATCCACATCCACAGGTTCAACAATATCAGATAATCTAATACGAGCTAACGCTTGTGCCATACGAATAATACCCAATAATGTACGCGCAGAGGCATACGTGAATTGTTGTTGACGGTCCTCATCCAATTTATATTGACGTCTCAATCCGACATAAGCACTCGTGACATATTCAGAGACGTCTGATGTAAGCACGGGACGCTTGGTTCTAGCATGAGCAACATAGTGTCTATGTATATAAAAGAAATTAAGTTCACTGTACGGTATATATATATATAGAAAGAGTTTTACCTGATCATGTTGGGTTCTAATGCGTTGAAATCCATCTTGGGAGGCTTATTATGTGTATGAACATATGCAACATGCTCAGCCAAAAGACGATCCAAGTCCTCTGAAGGTTTATCCAACATCAAATAAAGGATATCGAAACGAGAGAGCAAAGCAGCAGGCAAATTAATATTTTGGGTAGGAGAGATACGTGTGTTGTAGCGACCATAAAGAGGATTTGCAGCAGCCAAGATAGAAGCACGAGCATTCAAGGTGGTATTAATACCTGCTTTGGAGATACTGATGGTTTGTTGTTCCATCACTTCATGAATGGCAGTACGATCTGAATCATCCATTTTATCAAACTCATCAATACAACAGATACCGTTATCAGCCAAGACAAGAGCACCACCTTCCAAAATCATTTCATCGGTAATAGGGTCACGCATCACAGCAGCGGTCAAACCTACACCAGAAGAACCACGACCGGTGGTATAGACACCACGGGGAGCGACCTTTGCAATGAATTTCAACAATTGAGATTTGGCTACACCTGGATCACCCATCAAACAAATATTGATATCACCACGAATCTTCATACCATCACCCACGGTCTTACTCACACCACCCACCAATAACAACAACAAAACCTTTTTCACATCATCATGACCGTAAATCTCGGGTGCAATACTGCGAGATAAATGACTATACACATTGGGATCGGCTTTCAACTCTTCAAGACGCACCTCATCTTCGGCGGTCAATTCGATTTCATCGTATTGTTTCTTGAGACGATGCACGTATTGGACAGCCAAATAAGTATCTGTTAACAAACCGGCACGCATGGCTTGGAAGCCGGTATAAGGCATGGGTAAAAAGATACCGGTGACATTAGCTACATCACCAGGGGTTAATTGACGACAGGCAGCACCATAGGCGTGCAAGGACATGGTACGAGGGATATGACCGACAGGGACTTGATCTGTTAATTCTTGCAACTTGATCTCTTGGAAAGACAAAAATTTACTAGCACGAGTTTGCATGTGTAATTTACCCTTAATACCATTACGTTTACAATCGACGGATGTACATTCGGTGAAAGGAGTAAATTGACGCTGCTTAATTTCTTGAAAGATCTCAAAACCACATGAATCACAACTGTAGGCGTTGACTTCGAGTAAAGGTTTGACGTCAGAGACACGCGTAACAATACCACGGATCGTCACAAGACGACCAATCTTTTCACCATTGACTTGACGCACGGCATAGGCTGTATCATCGGATAATGGTTTGAAAAAGATTTCACTATTTTTTTTATATATGTACGTGTTAGTGTTTTGTTTCTCTATCGTGGGTATCATGGTTGTCTTGTATTTTTTTTTTTTTACTTTACTATCGACGTGTTAATGCGGGAGGAAAGAAATCTTCGGTTTCAACGCCTCTGTTGGAATCACGAATAATTCTCTGACGGATAATGACATCCAAAACAGTATCCTTGTAACTGAGTTCAGGGTTGGCGGGAGTTTTGAGAGCACATAATTCATCCATGACAGACGCAAAAAAGTCTACATATTGTTTGGTGTTGCGCATAATATTGGCTACCAGTTTGGTACGTGAATCTTCGAATTTGGCAAGATCATCAAGTTCAATGTATACAACAGATTGTTCTCTATCCACAATGTTTTGCTGTAGGTGATGTCCATGGTTAGTTTTTTTTTGTTTGTTCTTTTTCCATGTGTGCACACAAATTAATTAATTTTACCATGATGACATCGTATTTGAGTACAGATTCCTCTTCTCCCATGGAACTACCCGTGGTCTTGAACTCTTCAAGAAAGCGCTTAATACTAACTACATGATTTTAAGAAGGAGGAGAGAAAAAAATTTTTTTTTTTTATGTACAAGTATAATGCATTAGATAAAAATAAAAAAAGAGGGTCATTAGGCCTTTGGAAGTGTGCCAATCTAACCTCTATCTTCTTCATAATTCACACTGAGTTTCACAGGTACAATGGCAGCCATCTTTTTTTATGTCAGCACCGGTTGAAAGTGGAGAAAAACAAAAAAGAAAAATTTATAGCAAAAATATTTTTTTTTATATTCGCGCCGCGAGAACAAAGTCGCGCCTGTTTTGTCACTGCTGGTGGGCCCATTTTTATATCCCGACATTTTTTGTACATGTGGATGTACATTGAAGGAATGCATTTTGCTATCCAGGTAAACCACAAAACTATAAAATGGGTCGTCATAGAAACCCACAGAGGAAAAGACGAATAGGATTTATTTATTTATTTTACAAGTGTGTGTTTATTACAGTAACAAAAAGAGGGCCTTTTCCAGCAATTGAAGATCGACAGGTTTACCAAGACAATCATTCTAAGATAAGGTGCAGGATGTTAATGAAAAAAAAAAAAAAATGGTGGGTACATAATAAAAAAAGACTTACGATGCCAATTTTGATATAATTATCTCTTGACTCGAGAGAATCATTGGTCGTTACAGCAATAATGGGTATCATTTGACCTTGATTGCGTATACACTTAGTGGTGTCAATACCATTTAAAAGAGGCATATCGATATCGAGCAAGATAAGGTCGAATACATACTTGTTTAATAATTGAAGGGCTTCCATCCCATTCGACGCTTCTTTGATATGCACCGTGTCAAGTAGTCTGTCCAAACTCTTTTTTAAAATGAGGATGTTAATCGGATTATCATCCACAATCAAGATATGTAAGCCTTTATGATTCTTTTTCAATGAACTATTGTAACTTGACATGGTTTAATAATAATAATAAAAAAATAAAATAAAAGCGAAAAGAAGTAATTATTTCAATTATTATTATTTATGAACTAAAAAAAAAAAAATTGATTCTAGACCCTCTTATTAGAGCAAAGTATTGACAATTAATATGCAAATAAGAAATGAAATGATTGAAAATCCATTTTTCACGTAACCGTTCATTGGATTACTAGCATAATTATAATCCTATTCTTCCCTTTTTAGTCTTTACAAGGGCAACTTTCTTTTATATGACTTACCAGCTTTTGATCTTGAATTCGGGATTCACGGTTGGAGTAAAGTGTGGTTTTCGTCTGATCACGAACAACCTGTATTTTGTTTATAGAAGTTAGATAACAAGAAGAGGGTGAGGCTTAAAACGCTCGGCATTTTACCCATTCAAGAATCTCTCGCAACATGTTTAGAATCAACATGTTTGAAAGAAGAGAGAAAAAAAGTGATGAACAATGTCGGGAGTTTAACTATTCTTTTTTAACCAGCGGCACCTTAAAGCCCCTCTCTCATTTTCATAAGGTGCCTTTCTGTTCATGCGAAGGAAAAAAAAAAAAAAAAAGATAGTGACGTGCCACACACAATTAAATCATAATAAAAAGCGAAAAACGTATTTCGTTGTTTCTTTTCTTTACAATAAAATAATAAACTTCAATGTCAGGTAATGAAAAGCAACTTAATGTCGTTTACGCTCTAACCAATGCAGACAATAATAGACAAGTACGCAAAGAGATCACCTGAAGACTTTGACTGGCCAGCCACCATTGTACTTGTAAGAGAGAAAGAAGAAGAAGAGAGAAAAAAAAAGTGGAAAAACTAATACCAAAAGCACCGTTGTAATAAAAGTAGTATGTGATTCTTATTATACTAGGTGTGGGCATGTGTTTCTGTCTTCGACAAGCCAACCGACTGATACCCAATAGATTCAGTTTTCCACTGGTGGACAGAGGAGAAGGAAGACAACGATTTGATGTAAGTGTAGAGGAAGAAGGCTTACTCAGTCGTTACCAAGAGGAAGAAGAAGAAGAAGAGGAGGAGGAGAATTCTCATCACGATAACACTACGCCTGTTCATCGTAGATACGAAGAAGAAGAAGAAGAGTTTGGTATTGTTATTCCAGATAATTCTCCTTTTCGGTTGTATAATTTAACATTCTTTTTATTAGGTGCTTTTAAGAAAAGTGGAAATTAATCTTAGAATAATAAACAACAACAAATTACCCTTTACCCGATTACAGACAGGAAATAATTTACCCTTTCACCAGCAAATAATCCGATGACCTTTTTTATGAGATGATTTCATTGTTTCTTTTTTTGGGCGCAAGGTATCACCAGCGCATGCATGTGAAGCAACCCCTCTTATCCGTTCACTGAGTAACCGTTTCTATGTAATTGAGTCCATAGCAAATGAGTTGCTACTTCATTTTCTTTGTGTCTGAGAACAGGGTATTTCATAGCAACAGTACCAACACTGACTATTTTATGCGAGCATGTCAACAACAACAACAACAACAACAGAAAAACCGAACGGTGTTTTAATAGTAAAAAAAAAACTGAGCTGACATCACAGGTCATTGGTGGCTTTTTTTTATTTAATAAGTTTGTTCAAAAAATCATTTGTTTTTTTTTTATTTCTTTATCGGGGCCATTAAAAAAAAAGAAAAAAAAAAAGAAATAGTTTTTTTTTTTTGTTGTTAGTTTCCATTATTAACAAACTGAAAAGGTGAGACCATGTCCAAAAAAAAAAAAAAAAAAATTAAAATTAAAATAAAAAAATTATCTGACTTTTATTTACATCAAAAAAAAAAAAAATTTGTTTTTCATTGGGTGGTTTATTTTTTGCTATTTTTTTTTCTCTCTCTCTCTTTTTATTTTTTTTCTAAACCAGAATACACGATTCAACACAGGACTTAAAAGAGTCGACTGTCAATTTAAAGAAACAAAAAAAAAGTACGACCAGAAAAAGAAAAAAGATGACGTGTTTCCTGACTAATCTTTTGTGTAGTGGACGATATGAGCAGTGGATCTGATAGTGATTATGCCAAGTATTGGATTGATTGGTTTTTAGAAACAAAGGGAAATGAATATTACTGTGAAATTGACGAGGAATATATATTGGATCGCTTCAACTTGACAGGTCTTAATGTCGAAGTACAACAATATTATGCAGAAGCATTGGACATGATTACTGACAACCTTGGTATTATTCTTTTTGTTATTATTTCCCGTCATCTATGATTAACCCCCCTTGCTTTACTTGCTAGATGAAGAGAGATTCGACGAAAAGGCCAGAGACCAAATTGAAAGAGCAGCTCGTCACTTATATGGTTTAATTCACGCTCGTTTTGTCATTACTACTCGTGGATTAGCAAAGATGGTACGCACATTACTATTAAAAGAGAGAGAGAGAGAGAGAGAGAGAAATGAAAAAAAAAGTATTTATATTCATATACACTGTATAGCTCGACAAATATAAAAAGGCTGAATTCGGAAGATGCCCACGTGTGCTCTGTAACTTGCAGCCATTGTTACCTGTTGGTCTATCCGACGTACCTGTCACCAAAACCGTAAAGTTGTACTGTCCTCGTTGTGAGGACATTTACAACCCAAAATCCTCTCGTCATGCATCCATTGATGGCGCCTATTTTGGCACTTCTTTCCCTCATATGCTCTTCCAAGTTCACCCCAATTACATGCCCACAAAGTCAATTGAACGTTACGAGCCTCGTATCTTTGGCTTCAAAATTCATCAAATCGCTGAACAACACAGATGGCAAGATAAAGCCCGTGAAGAATATCAAAACAAATTGAAGGAAAAGAAAATTGATGAAAAGTCAGATTTAGCATAGATATTTTTTTTATATTATCACATAAAAAAAGAAAAAAAAAAACAACAAAAGGGAATGTACAATTAAGAGAGATAAAAGAGAGAGAGAGAGAGTGAGAGAGAGAGAGTGAGAGAGAGAGGGGGATATATAAGTTTTTAACAGTTGTTGGGTTCAATTGGAATAAAAGGCCCCATATTGGATACACTGGAACATCGTCTCTCTTTGTTTACAGGTAACAATCTGGGTGCAGGTAATTCGCGATGTACTTTCTTTGGCGTTACCACCGGGAAAGGTTCCTTACTTGGCGGTTGAATCGGACATCCTTTTCGCCCTGTTGCCTTCTTCTTATTCATCATACGTCGACTTTGTCGTGTCATTCGTCCTTCATCCCTCGTCGTCACTTGTTCACTCTTCTCCGATTGAAGTAAGAAAGACATTTTCATTGACTTTTGTTGTTCTTTTGCCACACCTTGCTTTGTCCTTCGCCTAGACCTTCGTCTTTTTCCTCCTACATCCTGTTCTTCTTCTTCTTCCTCACTCGTCATTATTGTTGCCTCAAAAGGCGTATTACATTGTTCCTTACTCCACATCCTATCTGGTAGATACGATTCCTTCTTAATAATTACCACAGGCATGGGAATATCTTCTTGATAATCATCCGTATATTGTAACGTAGTATTTTCTACACGGTCAGGTGTAGAACTTTCAATATCAATATCCTCTTCCGATTCAGATACATGTAAAGTATGATCAATCGTAATATTTTCCATCGTCTCATCCACACGGCGCTTTACTTTCTTCCTCGCCGTGCTCACTTCAATCTCGTCTCCACCACTATCTTCATTTTCTATGATTACCATTGGAAGCTTCATCAAGGGAGGTGTACCTTGAGGCTCCAAAATTTCAACTACCGAATCATCATCACTAATCACTGAATCCCCATCACTCTCAATGATATGAATCACCGGGTTTTCTTTTGTCTGAGACTCTTCGTTAGTAACACATAGCAACTCGGGACAATCCTTCTTTTCTAAAGCATCTCCTTTTTCTTCAGTATTACAGACGTCTGCCTCCCCAAGCTTCTCTTCAACTTCATCTCGTGCAGACGAGGAGGAACCTTGGCTATCATCTATCACAATTTCAAGTTCAGAGTTATCAGACACGAGATCTTCTTTCGCGACATCCGATTTGGGATTTTTCTTTTTCGGTGCAGTGAGATCCACGTGAGAGGAGGGTTCAGTAGCATTTACCAGACGAATCTCTTCCTCCTCGTCTGTAATGACAATGGAATCCGGGTATTTACTCTCCGCGACGATATCTGTCGAGCTACCTTCTTCCATGACAATGTCCTTGTCGTCCATGGTAACATGGGTTGAATCGACTTCACATATGACATCCTGACCTTTCATAGATACGGAGATCTGGCGATTTCTATTTAAAAGGTGGTTCTCCTTCATCGGATCACCGGAGTCTTTCTTATCAACAGATCCATGTCCACGCTTGCGTGTTTTAGGACGTTCCTCGACCGTCTTCTTTATCTTTAACGAATTATCAGCAGCAGCAGCTGAAGTAACGGGTAAAAATAACGCTTCTACAAAATCAAAGCCTTCCAAAGGAGCCTCTTGTTCAGGAACCGAAACAAAATGAACAATGTTTTCATCTATGGCCTTTCTCTGCTCTTGTTCCTTTAGAGCGCTTTTCAATCGAACCACCAAGTTGGACAGGTTATCATGCTGCTGACTTAAAAGATCCAATTTTTCTTGTCGTTTCTCAATACACGCATCCAAATCCGATAAACTTGTAAATCGTTTAGCCAGAATATGTTCTTGTTTCCGTTGATGCACCGTCGTTCTGTTCGACATCAAGATCGGGGGTTCACAGAACGTGATGATTTCAGGTTCTTCTTCCTCGAATGTTAGATCCACAATCTCGGATACCTTTTTGTCGATTGTGACCGCAGTCATTAGTTTATGGACCTCCTCCTTCGTCTCTAAACCTTCGGATGCTGGCTTCGGACCGATCACACGTTGAGGGCGATAGACACCCGGTCGGAATAAATTTAATTGTTGCAAACTCGTATGAATCGTTTCTAATTGTTTGGCATAATAATGTTGTGCGGCAGGACTCAATATGTTGGCTCCTTTCGTCTTCGTTATCATGTCCGTTCCTTCCTTCTTTTTTTCTACGGATGCATTTATGTTTCCATTTACATCAAAAATAGGTATAGGTTTCTCCGTTCCTGCTGCTGCAGTTGTTATTGTTGCTGCGGTTACTGCTGATGTTTCTTTTGCTGTTGTTGCTGTTGTTGCTGTTGTTGCTGTTGTTGCTGTTGTTGCTGTTGTTGCTGTTGTTGCTGTTGCTGCTGTTGTTGCTGTTGTTGCTGTTGCTGCAGTTGCTGCCAACGCGGCTGTTGCTCTTGCTACTCTTGCTGCTACTTCTGCGTCTGCTGGTAAAGGAAATCGATTGGAAAGTGGTGGATAATGCGGATTCATTGAAGAAGGTATAGTATGTAATTGATTATTGATATAATAACGATGCAAGATAGACGGGCTCATCACAGACGATTCATTTCTGTACCCAAAGGTTTTCGTTCGTTCATCCATGACTTGATAAATATTATTAGGATGTGGTTGTGTCATTGTATTGGGCATGGGTTGTTCACCTGGATAAGCGATCCTTGACTGCATACTTTGTTGAGGGATCATGGGCTGCACATTTTGGGGAGACATCCCGGACTGTACGTGTTGCTGAGGGATCATGGGTTGTAAATCTTGTTGAGAGATCCTAGGTTGTACACCTAGTGGGTTATTTGTGATGGGTTGTGCAGTGCTGTGATGAGGCATTGGCTGTGCGTTTTGTAGATGAAGGATGGGTTGTGCGCTTTGTAGACTAGGAACTAACGGTACGTTTTGTTGATGAAGGATGGGTGGTCCAGTTTGCTGGTTAGAGCTTGGTTGTACGTTTTGTTGATGAAGGATGGGTGGTCCAGTTTGCTGGTTAGAGCTTGGTTGTACGTTTTGTGGTTGAGGCATGAGCTGTATACTTTGTTGATTAGGCATCGGTTGTACAGCTGGATGGATAGGTTGTACATAATTAGAGGATGCTTGGTTACATGGAGGCGGGCCTTGTACAGCTTGACGTTTTTTACCTCGACGTAGAGGTTTCTTAAGTACCGGCAAATCTTTGACTATCTGTGATTGTGGTGCTTCCATCGTTGAGAGATGATTGGGTGAATAGGCATCGATGGGATATGGACAAGCGTTGGAATAATACGGATAATTTGCTTTTAAGTAATCTTCTGCAGGGTAAGTTGTACTATTCGCAATTAAACAATTAGGCACAGAACAATCAGGAGCCTTGCAATCGGGTAACGTACAATCGGGTATGGTGCAATTGGCAAGAGAACATTGACGTTTGGAAGGAGAACAAAAAGCGTCACTGGGTGGTGCTGTATATATGATATCAGTGATTGGGAGTGCCGGTGATGGTTGTGGTAGTAGTGGTGGGGGTGGATCCAATGGTTTTTGTAGAGCACTGGTTTTTGGTGGTTTCCTCCTCCTTGGAGGTCTGGATCGTGCTGGTTTAGAAGGCGCTTCTTTCACTGCAACCACCTCTTGTGTTATCGGCGGTGTAGCCACAGGCGGTGTATCCACAGGCGGTGTATCCACAGGCGGTGTATCCACAGGCGGTGTATCCACAGGCGGCGTAGTCACAGGTGGTGTAGTCACAGGTCCAAGGACAGGTCGAGGTAAAGCAATCTTTTGATTTTTCGATCGTCTTGTGGGTTTTCGAAACTTTCGCATAGGCCATAAAAAACCATAAATCTGATAATGCCGATTACATCGACCACATAAATCAGGATTCTCACTTTTTCGGGTCATGCAAAACTCTTTGGCCTGTGCACAACATTTCGGAATATCATTGTCCTCCACAAGTGGTTTCGATATCTCTCCTTCCTTTATCACTGTAGTTGTTATTATAGGTGGTATTGATTCTACAGGTGGTGTGATTTCTTTAGACGGTGTGATTTCTTTAGGCGGTGTGATTTCTTTAGACGGTGTGATTTCTTTAGACGGTGTGATTTCTTTAGACGGTGTGATTTCTTTAGGCGGTGTGTTTTCTTTGGGTGGTGTGGTTTCCTTTAGGACACACACAGTGGAAGGTGGTACCTGTTCAACCTCCACATCCTGTGTAACACTCTCGTCGACGGTTGGATCTACCACCATCATCATTTCCGGCTGAGTTTCTTTTACCATTTCATTGTTCTCCACTACTTTAGTATCATCGATCATCTTTATAGACTCTCCATCCGTATCCAAAATTATCTTTACGGGTTCTGCTTTTGACTCCCTGATTGTCTTTATAGGATCTGCATCTTCCATATCCGATACCTCGGATAAGTCATCAATCCAATCATGGAACAAAGTTTCGGTATTACCGGTTTCCATGGAAAGTAATCTGAAATCCTTGGTGAGCTGAATTGTATCTTGAGTCGAAGCCATGGGTTCATCCTTCATAGAGTGAATCAATTCAGACACATCCTCATCATTAACGTTACTTAATGCAGGCGGATCATTCATACATCGATACAGCATTTCCGGTTGATCCTCTATATTAATGTGAGTTGATTCCGGTTGATCCTTATTATCGTCATCAGGTTCATCTTTGGTTGTGTGAGGTTCATCATTGGCAGCAAAGGTCAATCCAGATTTGTCATGGATACAGTGATTTAATCCAGGTGCATCTGTAGTACTATGACCCGATTCAAGTTCATCCTTGATACTGTGGATTGATTCGATCTCATCCTGAATAATGTCAGTCAGTTCAGGTTTATTCTTGGCGGTGGATCGTAAGACCGGTTTTCTGCCCACTAATGTATAAATGTGTCAGTAGTTAACTGGGGTGTGTGCGCGTGCATTCTCGGGGTTGATGAGGGTGTGTCTATGTTTACCTTCATCCATCGGATCATCCTTTTTGTTGATTGGCGGTGATTTACTGTTTATTTCTAATAAGAGGATCTCGGTTATTGGTCTGGTCTTTTTTACTTGTTCAGGTACGTAATAGTCTAGAAGAAATATTTAAATTTCCCCAATATTTTTTTTTTTGTATTCATTAAAATATGGGGGGGGGAGAGGATAAGGATGGATTACCTTTATAACTAATGTCCTTTCGTTTACGTGTACTCCTTCGAGTTGTTTGATCCTCCGGATTGAGTTGTGGATCTACGTTTTCTGGTGTTGCACCATCTTCTGATGATGAAGAAACGGAAAAATGACCCTGCTTGTTTCTACTCTTCTGTGATTAATGACTTGAACGTCTTTCGTTAACAATTCTTTTGTACCTTTCACAAGAGGAACATAAACATTCACAATTATCCTCTCCGAAATAATGATCTGCATAAAATACGGTCATTTCTTCTCCAATACTGATATCCTTTTGTACTCGAAACGTAATGGCATTTTGACCAATTAAAATAAACTATACCATGGCTGTCAGACAACGCACATCCCAACCATTCATTTTATTGCTTTTACCTCACAATTCGAATCACAATCATGCTACAGAAAAAAAAAAATAATAAGGTAAGCAATTTTTTTTTTCGTCTGATTTCAACAATCCTCTACTTTACATTCATGAAACGAGCAGGACCAAGAAAGAGACAAGAGCATTTCTTTCTGGTAGAGACCATGACACTGAAATCCCTGCCTTCCCGCTTTAACTTTAAATCATCTTGTTCTGTCAATTCAGCAATAGATCCTAAGCAACAAGTGACTTGTTCTCCTGCTGTCCAATCTTTAGTGGCTAATATACAAGCTTCCGGTTTGCCTGTGTATCGTGTTGTCGAACCCACTTCAAATCCTGCGTTGGGTTTGTACCTATCATATTTTGGATTTTTTTTAGCTTTTTCTTTTTTTATTATTCGATCGTCAAAATGCAGTTTCCTTTACATGTACAAGTATCGTTTCATGTGATGGGTGAATTCACTGACTTGTTTGCTGGACATGTCCTTGATAAATGAACTAAAGTAAGGTATTCTACAATCAAGGATGAGTAAAACAAGGCATGTGCAGAGATAGAGTGTGTTTTTTTACTCTAAGAAACTGTCGACCGCGTCTTTGATAGTTTTGTGAGAGGAGTTCACATTGATGATATGATCTCGTATTTTTTGCACGGTGTCTTGTTTATTGACGGTGGTTGCAACGAAATCGCCATTCATTCGAAGTGTATCGTACCAAAGGTATAAACTATCGACAAAATAACTTGCAAGCATGTCATCGTACCGAGATAAAACACTAAAGTCCATACTTGTTTAGTGAAGCGTGCGTGAAATCACTCTTTTATTTTTTGAACTCGTTGTCAATGATGAAAAAAAAAAAAAAGAAAGAAAAGGTAAAATGAAAATAAACACACAAACACACACACACACACACACACACACAAACGGATTAAGAAAAGAAAGGAGGGAGTCAAATTATGGTATTTCCCCTTTCGGCACGTGACATTAGTCAACGGGACAAAAAAAAAAAAAAAAGAGACGCGTCGTGATTTATATTTATTTTATTGAAGAAAAACCACCACTTAAAGTAGTGGTACGTTTGGGAGTTTATTCATCCTCTCTTCCTCTTTTTTTTTTCTTAACACAAATGTTTAACACACAGAAAAGAGAGAGAGAGGGCCATAGAGTATTGTCCAATCTCCCGGATAAGGGAAACACCACGTCTTGTCCATAGAAGCCTTCCAAACTTGTTGGACTTGGAGTCGATCTTTTGATGAAGATATATAAAAAAAGGAATGTGAGTGGGAGTGGTCTGAAGGAGAGATTACATTAATGATACATAAAGAAAGAAAAGAGAGATAGAATGGATATAAAATAACCACTGGTATTTTAAGGGGTTTGGACTCTCTGTCCGACTCTGTCAACACCTTGTGCTACGTGATGTGCTTACTCCTCCCACATAAGCTTTTTCGATACCTGTTTGTAGCTAACTAGAATTATTACTTGATGACTGACAATCACAACCATGGGCAAAGAAATTTAATTGCCTTTTTTCCCCCATCAACATACATATATCCATGGCAATGTGCTCGTTGCCAAAATTAGAAAAAACAATTGGTGTTTCAAAGGCATTTTACAAGCATGCTTCTTTATATTGGAATAATGAGTGTCTATTTATACAACAAGCCAAATCCTATTTTTTTAAATTGTCGGACAAGAGAATTGAGCGATCACTTCTTAATGGTAAAACCAGCAATTGGATATATCCTTAATTTTTAAAGCCCAAAAGTGATCTTAAATATGACTCACCCTCTGATCGAAACCTATACTTAAATTCCAACTAACTACCAGCAAAATAATTTAGCTTGCGGGACGCATAAAGTAGCATCACTTTTTGTATCATAAAGTCCGCAAAGTACACATGCATTTAAACTATCTCAAATGTAACAATAATCCTGAAAATACTCAGTAAAGATTATCAAGAACAACGGATTATTGTACATATTTAGGATAAGAATAAAAATCATAAGGGTTTAGCCTTTTTATTATTATTCTCGTGGTATATATAAAAAAAAAAAAGTTTAGTAGGATGTAACGACTTGCTGCAGCTAAACTTATTAATTGATATCTTTTTATTTTTATTTTCGTCTTTTACAAACGGGTCTCATTTGTTTTATAATGATTATGTCAGTTCATTGGAAACACCAATTACTAGAGACAACAAACAAAAGGGATTCGAAACCAATCTAGTGAGATTGATACTGATTTTATTTAGACTTGTGCCATTAGAAAACGTCAAAAATGACGTGACCGAATGTTAGACAAACCCTAAGGCTTGGAGATAGTTACATTTGATAAATTAATTAAACTATCTAGTGGGGATAGAAGGCAAATAGAAGTTAATATTTTTATAGAGTTTTTTCTTTTTTTTTTTTTTTTTTGGCGAGTAGCGGAGGATGTAATCCCTCGTTTCTTCCTTTTGCCCTTCAACTCAAGCTTCGTTTCTGTCAAAAAAGGGAAATGAAGTGCCTTTTACACGTATACTTTTAGATTTGCATGTCAGAATCGATTGGTGCGGCCCTGTTCAACATCTGCATGATTATTTCCATTCTATTTCAGCGTGTCTTTTTTTTGGTTTTGTTTCCTCATAGATACCACCCCATAAAAGCAAAAGAAAAAAAAACTCTAAAAACCTCCAAATTAAGCTTATTTTTGTGTATATTTTTTTATTTAATATATATTCCAAGCTATACTTTTTGGATCACCTTTAAATATTGAAATCACACATAATATTGGACGATCTTTTCATGTGCCACCAAATTATTCAAGTGTAACCTAATTCAACGTGCAAATTGTCCATATTATAACAACAAGGCATGGTTTAATCAATGTCAGTGCTCCCATAAAAAAAACCCACTTTAATAATTTTACTCCCTTCCTTTATACATTCCTTTTTTTTTTTCCTTTTCTCTCTTTTCTTCTTTATACCCTCGCCCTTCACTTTCTTTAATAAATCACCCTACTTTTATTAGTAGTCGTTTCCCGCGCCTCCCATTTTTCCTTGTCACTTTTTACATCAGTAATGAGAGGGACCAAGTGGCAATTTTCTCTCCTCTTCTTCATCCTATCGACTTTTATCATTTCATTAGGTACCTAAATTTATTTTCACAAATCAATCTACTCCTATTGATCCAAACTAACATCTTTTTTTTTAATATTATTCGAAAATCCTATAGTCAATGCTGAAGCAGAAAGTAAGTTACTTCTTATGCAAATAAATTGACATAACCCTGATCCATTCTCTTTTAGATGAGAAAAACACTGTAAAATCAACCAGCACCACCACCACAACAACAACGACCTTGAGTCAAACGCATAATAGTACCGCCACCGCTACAACCACCACCACTACTGCTAGACACACAACCACCATCAACAATTGCTTAGCTTCGTTGCATCATACCAAGTTTACCACAAGTACGAAATCACCACATACCAAAACTGTATATGTTTGCAAAACACCCAATGCACAAGTAACTCAACACTCTCCTATCAGACACGATGATACGCATTCCAAAAAGAAAAAGTCTACAACCGTCACAAAGACTCGTTCTGGTCATAAGTCTATCAATGCTCAAGCGTCAAAGAAGCACACCAAAAAGCACACTACCACCACTACCGCTACCAAAAAGCACGGCCACAAAAAGACTAAAAAAACAACTACTACTACCAAGAAGAAGACTACCACCAAGAAATCTACTACTACTAAAAAGACCACCAAGAAGTCTACTACCAAAAAGACGACTACTACCACTAAAAAGACCACTAAAAAAAGTACTACTGTGAAGCCTACTCAAACTCATAAAGCTAGTGTCACATCAACTACCGAAATAGCCTTAGCTGCTCCACCTACAACTACAGTAGCAGCAGTCGTACCAGCAGCAGTAGCAACACCAGCTGATGAGAATCGTGACGTTAGTAACGACTCCTCCTCTGATGAAGGTAGTGCCACTGACAACAACAACAATGATGAAGAAGATACTTCTACTCCTCAAACAACAGAAGAGTCTGCTCCTACCGTTGTACCCGTTGCTGTTCCCGTCCCTGTTGTCTCTACACCCACTGATAACCAAGTGAATTCACAAAGTGTCGATAGTACTCAAACCACCGAAAACACACCTCAAAGCAAAGTCATTGGAGTTTCTGTCGGTGCTGTTGTAGGTTGTATTGCTGCTGCTGGTTTAGCAGGCATGTTCATTTACAAGCGTCGTGAAAAGACCCATCATGATCAAGATGTGGAGGACATGAATCAAACCAGTGAAGTCAACACGCGTTGGCGCACACAGTCGTTTATGGCCGTCGTGGCAGGTGCTGTAGCTAAACTACCCAAACGCAGTAACTCTTCTGCTTCTAGTAACGGAAGAGCATCCTTCAATGTGTTGGGAAGTATTCGACGTGCTGCTAGTAATGCTTCACGATCCCTTTCTGTTCGATCCAAGGATAGTACACGATCCAGTGTTCAAAGTTATGGCATTGCTGTTTCTGGTCCTATTCCAGCTATTGCTCGTATTGATGGGGATCAAGCTCGTTATTATAATGAGCCTGAAAGTCCTACTCATAATCACCACACGCATGCTTATTAGACCTTCTCCAATATAATAATAAACTTTTTTTTTAAAGTAACACTCATAAATAGGAGGTACAGAAAATGCTTTTTTAGGGCATTTTTTTATTTTTATTTTTATTTATTTATTCTCCCAAAGATGAAGATCGTACAATGATTCTTGTGTTCGCTACTTCTGCTTCTTTCCCAATATAATCATTACCATAGGACCAAGGCTGTGGACGAGTCTTTCGACGATTATTAGCGGCTTGTTGTTGCTGTAAGATAGCGTCCGTGTTGATCATCATGGCGTCCTTTATGCCTCTACGTTGGAGTCCCACAATGGATTTACAGGTACGTGTGATAATATTAATTACATTAGATTCTTGTGAACACCAAGTTGTAAATTGGGATAGCTCGAGCGCCAGGTCTATAAAATAAGGCGCAATGACTTCCTCTTGTTTATGTCGAAGTAGTAAAATCCCACTGTTCTTATTGATACAATCCGGATCTAGTTTATCATCATCTACCTATTTAATGGGTTAATGTACCCGTTCTTTTTTTTTTTTTGAAAAAAAAAAAAAATAACTTACAGATACGAAATTAATAAAGTTCATGAAATGGTGTGTATTGTTCTACAATTTAAAATGAAATATTAGGACTCATTTTTTTTTAAAACTGAGAAGAAAAAAACGTGCTCTTTTGTTGTACCTGAACAAATTCATTTAGGCGAACCATCCAGGGTTCTTTTGCATTTTGCTCAATTGTACTATGGCTTGCTAATGTCATTAAACATTTGGCGATTAAAGTTAATGTACGACATGTCTTTGTATCCGGATGATCTAGTTTGGATATCAGTTTCATCAGTCGCACCGAGTCCCTTTAATTTATCTCACCTTGAACAAGCCCAAATTGTTTAGGGGATATAATAGCGGGGCAAATCCATCTCAGAAATATGAATCCACTACCAAAATAAAAGTTACAAACATGTTTTTTTTTCTTTTTTTTTTTTACATTTAGTGCCATGCATACCTAACACAAGTATACCGAGCTACTTGATGATGTCGGTCGAGTGTTTCTTTACCCAAATCAAATTTTTTGACAATGGCTGACTGTAAATGTCCAAAAATACGACGGAGTTCTCTATAAATAATACATGAATTTTTTTATGTTTTAGGGAAAAGCATTCTATTCAAAACTTTACATTGGACATTTGTTTTTCGCTCTTTTAATTCCTCCCCAAATAGATCGTACATAATTGAACAGTTCCGAACAATTGGCAAGTGTGTTCTCTGTTGTACTATTCGATAACCGAGATGATTCAACCTAATTTTGGTTACGAAATGAATAAAAAAATATAACCCTTGGCAAAATATAAATGAAATTAAATTACCTCAATATGAATACTAAATTTACAAATCTTTTGAATCGTGAATTGAAGTGCCTCTTCCAAGAATTCCTTTCCACTCATTTTCATATAATTATCAATGACTTTGGTGAAAAATGAATTTCCTCTACAAACACACATGTTAATTTCCTTTTCTTTTTTTTTTTCTAAAAGGGGTATCATGGTTACCTAAAAAGAATGTTTACATCGTCTAAAATAAAAGCAAAAAGTTTAATCAATAAATAAATTTGAATGACTAAGAAAAAAAGATTACCTGAGCTCAAGGAAGATACTTCATAATCAATCAATGATTTTATCCAAGTCAATGTCAAACCCATGCCTTCATAAATCCTCAACAAGTTTCTCGCCAGTCCTTGGACATCCGATGTTTTTCTTGCCATATCATAAATAATATCATGTCGAAATTCCGTCAGTACATCCATCAATGGTTGATACATTTCCAAAGAAAACACCTGATGCTCCTCTAACAACAGTCCTACTCGCAATTGTCCCAACGATCCACTCCCGGATCCCAAACTCGTCAATGATGCAAACGCTCGATTTCGACTTTCCTTTCGCACTTCGTACCATTCTTCGCCCAACGTCGTCGTCGTCTCAATTTGGCTGACGGGTAAAAACACTGTACCATACACCGTCTCTCGATCATTCTTACTACTTCTCGAATACATCGTGATTGTCACTCCATGTCGCATCTTGCTGATATCGCTAAACATAAACTCCTCGCGCCAAAATAGCGTGGACGTCTTCTTTAGGGATCCCGTCAATCCACGAATCTCGTTATCAATCACAACATCACAGTAAAGCTCGCTATGGATTGAATCCTTATGGCTCACTTGGAATTTACGTCCTTCCGCTATACGAACCGTCAAACTATAGATGGTTCGCAAAGGATATGGTTGCTGTTGACAACACCGTTTCAGACGTACAAGCCATGCATCCCGTTGAATCTTACTGCATGTCATCAAATGATACGTCTGGTTCGGTTGAGGTCGAATCACAATACAGTATCGCATATGATCAATCGAGTCGGAGAATGGGTACACGTCCTGTGGCATTAACGTGGATAGTTGAATCGGTAAATGGAAGAACGAATTATCCTCCTAATTTTTTTTTTTTTTTTTTTTTTTTTTTTTTTGTAAAATTAGTCAAATGGATTACCTCCTCCCATCATTCTTTCTCTTACTTTTTCTGTTTGCAAATGAAGTACTCCGTTTTCAAATAATGACACATGAAGCACGCATAATGTACCTGTATGATGTGAAGTGCAGCTTACTTTGTTGATACATAATTCTATATTTATAAAATGAGTGACACTGCACACTTGGGCTACTCCTCTTTTGGGGGGAAGACTTACTATGTATACGAAATAATCCAGACATTTGCACCTTGGAATGGTTATAAATACCACCTGACGTACCGCAGCAATTAATGGGACAATCTGCTACAGGCACAGGATGTCCAAACAATAAATCTCCATTATCATTTTCTCCGTTGTTTATAAAGTTTGTTGGGCTTGTTCTTACATTCTATCGTATTTTAGAAAAAGTAATCAGCTATTTGTTTTATATATACATATAGATCTAACTTACGGGTACGTTGATATGATTTAATGAGGTTTCCATCATCTTTTTATGTTGATGATCCACCGTGATCGTATTACCACCACCGTTACCTCCGCCACTGCCGCCTCCAAAACTCGATTTTTTGGTAAGAAATGATCGGTTGCTACTATGTGTTCCTGAATACCGAGGATGAGGAATCTGATGTCCAATGGTTACTGTGAGATCATTTTTTTTAGAAGTTATAAAACTTACAGCACTTTTTCGAGTGGTAGGTAAGGTAGACTTTTTACTACTGTGGTTGGTATTCACACCACCCGCTGTTGTTGTCGTGTGAAGTGATGTCCCCGTTTGCTTTTGTGGGTTCCAAGAACTCAACGCTTGTAACCAGTTGGAGAAATCAATGGCGGTTTCTGTTTGTAAGCTTATTCTACAAAAAAGAAGAAGAAAAGGTAAATACATTTTTTTTTAATAAACATATGGTTGATAACTCACATGTTACTGGATTCTGCGGGTGCTATTTGGATAACAAAATCGCGTTTATCGGTCTCAGATGCATGAACCGTTGCATTCTTCAAGTTACATGCAATTACAGTTGTCTAAAATGATTATACATAAAAAAAAATCAGTGGGGGAGGTTAGATTCCATGTAATAGAGATAACATACGGTTGGATCCTTGTATTGTTTCAAATGACCATCCTCCTTGGAAATATAGTAATAGTACCTATCATGACGTTTTACTTTTTTAAATCATCATGTCTTGCGGTGACAAAAAAAACATACCTCTCCCATTTTCCTCCATTGTGGTTAATGGCATCCTTGTTACCATTGATACCATTGGTACAATTACTATTAACACCCGCTGGCTTTTTTTTCGCAAGCAAGTAGCCCTTTGCAGAAATTTGAGATCCAGTCAAAGAAAGGGGGTTTGTTGTTGACAGTAAAGAATCTAAGCTATTGTACCTTTGCTACAAAAAATAACAAGCATTCCTTTTCCTTTTAATAAGTGGGATTCTAATGTATGCTATGATGAAAAAAACTTACGACAACTCTTGGTTTATTTAAAAAGGTAAATGGTATCAAGGAAGTAGGTGAAGAAGGTCTAGATCGAATCATGAAGTTTTCATTGGGCGGTTTCAAGGAATTTTTAAGACAACTGTAATACGAAGCCAATTTTTCCTGAATGTAATAAGACAATCTTTCATTATTTAACTACATAGAGAGGAGGAGGATTAATAAATATATATAAAGAGAGAGTTTTTTTTAAAATGTGGTTCATATTTCAATCATTTTACTTCATGGTAATCTTCAAAGGAAGAACGTGGAAATGGTGAAGTAGAACGATCTTCATTACTACTGTGACTACTGCTGGCACTGCTAGCTGTACTCGTGGGCTTTTTAGAATTAATATCATAGATGAAATCAGTCGAAATCAAGACCAACTCTTCTAGTGTCCTCAGATTTCGATGCTTATCGGACTGAAGGCCTTCAAACAGTGGGCTCAACTAGTATATAATGCTGGTTAAAAAAAGTTAATATAAAGATGCAAACAATTTACCTTTTCATTAACCAAAGTTCGTGTGGACCTAATCAGATTATTTAATGCATAAATATACTCTAACAAGACTTTGCATAATGATCTTTTGGCTATATATAATGATGTACTGATTTCCTGTAAATATAAATTTTTTTTAGTAGTCATGAAATCATCTTTAGGGGGAGGGGGGGGGGGTTACATCCAATGTCTTGTTGTTAGCTTGTGAGGACTTCATTTTTTGAGCGCCACAATAGTTATTAGACAATTGAATATGTTTCACTCGGCATTGGGCCACATTACTCTCAAAGTGCTAAACATAATTGAGGAGGGGAAGTTTAGTATATAGATAAGTCATGAGAAGGAGGAATGATATAAGTACCGTCAAAGTTTCCTTTATTTTTGAGCCATGATCCCGCAAGTAGGCTATAATGGGAAGAGATGAATAACAGTGCGTGTGTGAGTGTTTATGAATAATACTTGCGTAGAATGGATCGAATGTCTTGATTGTCCCATACTTCTTCGTCAATGGATTTGGTATCGCCAGGCCAGTTTAAATTATTGCACTCTTCTGCGGTATAGAATGGTTCGTTTAACATTAATTTTGTCTGGTCATATAATAATGCGATGGATTTGCTGTAAGCTATTTCTAATTGTCTGCACTGTTCTATTTTCTCTAGCCAGGTCAAATAATGGTATAACCAAGTCTCCAATGATTGTAAATATTCATGAAATACAGGTGAATCAATCCAGATGTCTTCATACAGAATATCAGAGGATAGATCCAACATGGGTATATCTGGATGTAATAGATTGTTGACTTGATTGGATATGATTGTCTTTCTACCAGGAATTGCAATACTTGTTTCGTCATCACTGCTACTACAGCTGCTATCGTCCTCCTCCTCTTCTTCTTCCTCTTCTTCACTTTGCTGTAATGGAATTTGCTCTGTTGTGCTGTGCCAAGGCTGTTGAATAGAAGATAAACTAAAGGAAGATCTTGTTAATCTTGCACTGGAATCATCGTCGTCATCAATATGGATTAAGGGTACGCTACTTGAGCGCGATTGATCCATTTTGAATTGTTTATAAAGAAAGAAGAAAAAGAAAACAGGAGAACAATATATATATATTTATACATGTAAGGAGTTGGACAGAAGAGGGAGGGAGGGGGCGGCTGACCTTGATGGAGATGCCTACAGAAAGGTTAATCCTCATTATTACTTTTTACCCCTTAAATGAAAATCCAAAGGGAAAACCACTCTCCTCCTCCCCCCCCCCAAAAAGTCAGCTCACCCCCCCCCCGAATACACCTACTGGCGCCAATGTAATTGTTTATATATAACAACAATTCCATTAACAACTAAACTATCAATTTCTCCTTTTTCCTATCTCTCTCTTTTTTTTTTTTTATTAATTCACTTCTCTTCTTGTACTTTGATATATATTTTCTTTCTCTTTTCTTTCTCTCATATTAAAAAAAGGCTGTGCCCTGAAAATTTACCTGTTTAAAAAGACGCCTATTTATTTCATGCTATAAAAAGAGAGAAAGAAATTTTCCACACCACGCACGAAAATAAATATATACAAAAAAAAATCCTAATGTTGTCATCAACTGAAATCAATATGCAAAACTTGATGCATGAAGCTTCCAAAGGTTACAGTAATGGTCTTTTCAAGGTATAATAAAAACGTGAAAAGAGAAAAGAGGGGTTATTATGGGGGGTGAAATCATAAGAAGGGGTCTTTAAAAGGAGGAAAAGATGTCTGATAATTGTATTTTTTTCTTCTTGTTATAGATTTCCTTTGAATTATATATCGAAGCATTGTTAACAGCCATCAAAGAATTTCAACAACTGGAATTTATAGACCAACGCAAGTGAATACACACACACATACACACATAAATTCTTTATTACTGACAGATTAATTCTTTAAAACAGGCGTGGAAAATAATGATTTATCGTCCGTATTTATCTTGGCCCATACGTGTCTCAGACAGGCCAAAAGTATTTCCTCCAACAAAATACCCCCCACAGTGCCACCCAAACCCGTGGCTTTATCATTACCACCACCCTTACCTACTCGACCCTTAAAAACCTTTTTGGATCCCCCTTCCATGATAAGAACGAGATCAGACTTTGTAAAGCAATGTAATATAGATTATTCTTCTGACGAAGAAGAGTATGTTGTAAAGAAAAATGTAAATAATAAAAAGGGTAACGTAACTTTTTTTATTTGTGTTTACAACAACAACAATAATAATAATAATACCACTTATAGTACCCCAAGGATCTTTAAGGATCATCACAAAACGTAATAAACTACCTCGTAGATCTTCCACCTCCAATATATCCTGCTCAGCACCTTCTTCTCCATCTGTCTCCAACCCATTAAATGCCGTCAAATCATTTCTATCGCTACCTGGATCTATGGCTGCACAAGCTGCTCCTGACGCCGATGATATCTTCTTGTTAACCAACGGTACCATTGACCCTCACATTCTTGTCCCTGCTCAAACAAGTAACAGTGATAACAGCTTACAATCAGTTACAGCAAACAGCAGTTATTTACCCTTCATACCCCAAGCACCCCTTGTCACCATATACCAATCCCTCCAAAAGAAATTAGATGATCTTAAAAAGACAGATGAAGAGTATAATAGCATCCAATCTACACTGAATCGGGTGCGTAATATACACATGTCTGCCACCACTGTGCCTACCATCCTTCAATTTCAGCCTGTTCTCATTGCCTATCAACTTACGTTGATTGATTCCATCATCTTTCGAAATATACCAATGGACGCTATCCTGTCTCATTCTCCAAAAACACCGCATCCTTCGATTGTGGCATCCACCGATTTCTTTAATTATCTCACTCGCTTGATAGAACATGCCATTCTATTGCAGCAAGATGCATCGGGTCGTGCACAACATATCAATCATTGGATTAAAGTAGCAGGAAAATGTCACGAGCTCAAAAACTATCAAACCTTAAAAGCTGTCATTTCAGCATTAGGCACACCACCCATCCAAAGACTGAAAAAATCCTGGTCATTTATTCCCAAAAAGAGTATGAATTTATTGGAAGATTTAAGTGAACTTATGTCAGAAGCATCGAATTACGGTAAATACAGAACTCGTTTGGGTTTATCACAAGACGAAGAAGAGGAAGTCAGCACACAAAGCATACCTACTACCACCACCGCCACCACCACAAACAGCAATACCACATCCGCCTCCGCTAATAATGCCCGAAAAAGTAGTACCCGGAAAAACTCTTTTAGTGAGCCCACTGTACCCTTTTTGGGTATATTTATTCACGATATGACCTATCTCGTTGCTGCACTCTCCAAAAAACAAAACAATAACAGACACAACTCGCAGTGGACAACAACAGCTTCCAGTAAGGTTGCAAGTACGGATATACATGAGATGCAACAAGATGTTCGAGTTTCCGAATTACTCAAATTATTCAAAAACCTTCAAAGAAGTCCTCCTTATTCCCCTCATCTCACTGCTGTCTGTATCAAGGATCTCAATAAAAACCGAAAACGCAAGCTATCACATGCCCTCACACGTTCTTCTGCAATCAAAAAGACTCCAGCTTACTTTGCAAATCAACATGATGATGAGACGGGTGGTGAACTTAGTATCGAAATGCAGCAATGTCTTGTGACCCAGTATCTGGTAAGCGCTTCTCTTTTTTTTTGTTTGTTTGTGTTCTTTATACTAAGCACCCTGTTTTATTATTACTATAATAGTTGACCAGATCTTGGGTAAGTGAAAAGACGGTGGATGAATTAAGTTTGGTAAGAGAGCCAACAAAGACAGCAAGAAGTTATTCGGTGACTGAATCACTTGCCAATGGACCTGCTTCGGCAACTCCACCCATCACATCCTCCGTGAGCTTAACAACCACCACCCGAAGTAGTTCAGGTAGTTTAACAAGCAGTAGCTCTAACAGTCGACCAATTAGTCTAGAGGATGAACTTGAGCAAGACGAAATGGAACGAAAATCCTCCACTAGTACAGGATTTTGGTTATTTAACAGAAAAAGTACAGATGGAGGCTATTTGAAATCCAATGACTCATTTGGAACCATGCAACGATCGCCACGCCACTTTTCGTTTGAAGAACTAAATAACGCTGCCATGATCAAGAGTCAGTCCCTGAAACCATACAATGATTCCACACATCGTATGCAGCGAGAAGGATCCCAAAGTTCATTATCCACAATATTCCGTAAAGATTTTTGGAAAGGATCAGGAGGAGGGACAGTAACAAATCGAAATCCGTTATTAAATTTTAATAGTGATCCATCACTGTTAACATCGGCTGCAATCCAAAGAAAAGGATCGTCCGCATCATTGGTTCAACCTTCTCCTTCTTCTTCCACTGACACTCATCATCCTTTTCCAATCCGAAAATTAATGACCACCCATCCTTTAGATGATTCATCCACTCCGTTAAGTGAAATATCCAGTTTTAATTGGGATCAATAAATCTTATAAAAAGGGGGCATGTTCACCTTCCTCCTTTACTTCTTTAAACAATAGGAGGACACCTTTTAACTTATTCTCGGTCAAATAAAATCATTTTTTTTTCACGTTTTTATTATTCTACCAGCGAAAAAAAAAGGAGTCTGTTGTACATTATTCTATTGTTTTTCCCTTCATATTACAGCTTACTTTCCACTTCGGGTCTAGCCATCATCCTTTCTTGTCCAACTTGACTTAATCGAATAATCCCTTCTTGTGCAGCTGAAGCAACTAAACATCCATCCCTGTTATATATTTTACCAAACACCAATCCTCGACCATTGCGGGATCGAGGGCCCTCCATATCAAATAATAGCCAATCATCCACTCTTGCAGGTTTATGGAACCACATACTATGATCCAAGGACATCATCATACCAATATTCTCGGAATTATAGGAGGTTCCATTCGCTCTCGCTGCTGTATCAAGAAATCCTCTATCCGACGCATATGCCATCG